GATTATCTTGGAGGTAGTCCCAAGGTCTGCCAGCCACACTTTCACAGAGAATTTTGAATTCATTCAGAATTGTCACCTGACCTTACAATGTGTAGTGTTACAATCATCAGAGCCTGATCTCTAGGCCTTTGTGGAAAAAGTGCTACCAGGAAGGAGATCCAACATGATCAAGGAAGACAGGGTTCTTGTAATTTTTAACTTTGTCACTGAACATTGCGTATTTTCCCTCATTTACTGTTCATCCTCTTTCCTTTGAATGTTAAGAGATGGATTTTTTATCAAATTTAGTGATATAGGCAATATCAGTGTATTTCATTGACATTGTTGAGTGTTTTTGAGCTTCAGGTACATTTGTTGGCAAGAGCGGTGCTGTTCTCATGTGTATGCAGGCAGTCATACCTTCATGTAGTAATCAGATGAGTACAAATAAGTTCTATGTAAAGAGACAGATACTTAAGTGAGTTTGTAATTCTTCCATGTTTTCCACATGGGACTGTCATGGGTCTTATCTCCATTACTTATCAGCTATTTCTCAGCTTGGAATTTCACAGCCTCTTCAGACTGAGGTATTTGTTATTTTCAACCTGGTCTTAAAGACATAGTTTTGAGACTTTTTTTTCAATAAGGAATGTGTATATTTTAAGTTGGCTTCAAGTTTTTTTAAAAATTAATACAGATAACGTGGTAAAAAGCCTGTGCCAAGATGTTTTGAGTTGATAAAAGGGGTAATGATAAATAGTTCACAATTTATGGACCATCTATGTAATTGTGATTAAATGATTATTTATCAATAATCATTATTATTTAAGAAAAACATTCCACACTTTCTAAATGTTTTAGAAGTTCCAATATAGGTACTAACGTAATACGTAGGGTATAGGTATGGTTGCAAGAAATATGGAACTACGATCTTTTAAGTGAAGTTAATTGTGTGCGCGGATCCTGCTTAAGTGCATTAGTATCATTGAGCAAGTATAAGTGTTTTCATTTCAACATTTGATATAGGTTTGCTAAAACGTATTACTGTTGAGTTTTTAAACAGGCACACACTGAAGATTTGCTCCAGTCCTCAGATACAGCCTTAAAATGCTGAGATAACACTATTTTAAGTACAGTGTACCTGTTATTTCAGTTCTTGCATTCGTAAATAGTTTTATATTAAGAGTTCTGTATTTAGATGCTTGTCATTACCAGTAGACCAGCAATACTATTTTATACTAAAACCTAGCTTTTGTGCATCATTGAAATGTTTTATTATTTTTTTAAGTATGTTTTTCTAAGCATATGAAAATTCACAGTGAATAGGAAATACACTTAAGAAGTTTAAATTTAAATACTGTGAAGAGATGGGGATAGAAGGATAAAACAAAACATAGGTCGTTATTTTGTTTCAAGCTAGTAGCATTGTATGATTTTCAAGCTGCAGTCCCCTCCCTCCTCCACAAGACAGATCTTTTTTTAGAATATGCTATTAAGGCTGCTCTGACTAAGAACACTTGTTTAGTAACAATGATCCCCCTGCCCCACGCGCACATTTTGTTTTTAACTTTCAATTTTTCAGGCTAGTTTTACTCTTTATTTCCATTTGGCAACATTTAATTGAAAGATCTAATTCATTATTTACAATGGGTTTACGGAATGAGCTCTCCAAACAAAGGCAGTTACACAGAATTGTTTATTTAGCAGTTTTAATTTTAGAAGCTCTATTCTTCAGTGAAGACAGTGAAGGCCATGCAGCCACTCCTTCAAAAGAATTCGGCTCCCAACTAATGAATAGTACTGCCAGTAATTGTATTCCTTGAAGGAGATCTCGCACAAATAGACCCTTGTAAAAAGATCTGTTGACTTCTTGTATAAATTCTGCTCTTTCCCATTGATTTATTTGGAATTTTCTCTGAAAACCGTTACATTTCCATGAAATCCAAAAACATATGTAAGAATATGAGCTGGCTCAGGAAAATATTTCAAAACGTGGCTGTGGGAGTCCAATGACTGTATATTTAGAAAGATGTACCTATTTGATAAATAAAATAAGTTTGCTGTCTTACAATACTAATGCTATGTGCCTGGAGATTGTATGTTCTCCCCATGTTTGCATGTGGTTTCTCTGGGTGCTCTGTTTTCATCCCACAGTACAAAGACATACTAGCAGGTTATTTGGAAACACACGTTCTCTGTGTCTGTTCTTTCCAGTGCCTTGCAATGGACTGGTTTTCCAGCCAGGATGTGTATCCTGCCTTATGCCCATAGCAGTTAGAAAATGGATGGATGACAGTACAGTGAAAATAACGGAATAAAATAATTGAAGAATAACTCTAGTTAATGTGGATATTAAACACTTTATCTTTTTCATCTAAACAAGCTTCTTATATCAGCAAAAAGAAACTTAGGTCAGGCTTAATCTAAACAGTAAAGTTTGCTGGTTTTTGCAACTGTTTGCATGTGCATTGAATAGAAATGTCACTGTGCTCACAAAATGATCAGTAACCATAACCATTTAAGCAGGCTTAATTTGTTATACCAAATATTAATGTTTAGGTCATATTGAACTAGACAAGTGTTTATTATAACACTTAAAGATAGAAACATACTATACATGTCTGAACATAAAAATAGTACATATATTTTTTCATCACTCACAACTACATAATTATTGATAAAGTCTTCAATTATACCTCTAGCCATTTGAAATATATGTGCCAAAGTTTTCAAAGCAATACTTTGAATCATTTTGCTTTTTATCTTTAGGTATCAGTATTACCTCCAAGTTAAAAAGGAAGTTCTTGATGGACGTCTTCAGTGTACGGTTGAGCAAGGTATTAGACTGGCTGGTTTAGCAGTACAAGGTAAGTTTTAGGTATATCTTCATAAATTAATTGCAAGTTTGTTGTCTAGTTGTGGTCAGAGCTTTGCAGTACTTCGAAATAGATTGTAATAAATTGAAAATTGAAAACCAATAATGTATTTAAAAATTTGCACCTAACACTGCTTTGTATTTCGAAAAAATACTGACTCATCAAAGGTTTTATATTCTGCATCTATGTTAAACTTTAAAGTTTTTCTTATTGTCTATCATTTAGACCGATTGGGGAGTAATTATCTTGATAAAATATTTTATGTAGACCCTTTCGTGTGAAGACATCTCAAAGTGCTTCACAGTAGAGGTAACAAATCAACAGTATATGGTTAGGACGAACATGTTGAGACGGAAAGACAGCATTTCTGTATTACAACTTAGGAAACCTTACCCTGAAGTGCTGTTTCACATGTATTTTCAAACGTTTTTTGAAGATAGAGACGGGGATGTTTGTATGGCCTCAGGTAGAGTATTTAACTCAGCACATTTAAGCACATTTCAATAAAAACGACCATCTCCTAGTGCATGGTGTCTTCTCATTGTGAAATGTGGCAAGCCTGAATTTAAAGTGCAGAGCTGTAAAAAAGGAGCAGAATACTGTATCTCTGTATAGTTCGGCAAACTTTTGAGGTGAGAAGCACACTGACTGATTAGCACTTTGTACTTCAGGAGAAGGATTTTGAATTCAAACCTATGTGACACTGTTAGTCAGTTCAAGGAGGCTTGAACAGAAATGATATTCATGTGAAGCATGGATCTGTAAGAGTCTAGCAGCCAAGATTTAACCATGCTGAGGTCTGTAGGTGGCCTGCTTAGAAGCACCAGCAAGCAGTTCATTGTCCAATCTTGAGAAGCTTGGAAAAGGGAAAGGCGCAGTTACACAGGTACAAGCAGGACACCATTATAATATTTCAAACATGAGGTTGTGATTTTAATATCTGATAAGCAGCATGTAAGAGCAGTCAAACCTAGATTTGTGTCTGCCTCAGTCTGCTTGTAAATCAGAGTGTCATCATTGTAACATAAGACGTTCAATGGTGTTGGATGATCTGGTCAAGTGGTGTCATGTAGGTACTGAAGGGAAGAGAGCCAAAAACAGTATTGGAATACAAAAAATATAATATTTTAAATAAATATTTTTTTTAAAATAGAACACATGTACGTCTGTTGTAGCCTATTTCGCTGCTCCATCTTATAAATGTATTTCTGCCAATTGTCCTTTGTCCATTGGACCACTTTTTTTACAGGATGTTGTCTGTACAGTAAACTACACATCACTATACCAAAAATGTCATCTACATCGTCAATAATTCCATTCTGTATGTGAACCACAAAAATTTAATCTGCAAAAAGACACTGGAAAAAAGACATACTGCAGAGTGCGCAAAATTTTCAATACCTCAATAACTGAGACCAAGGGGAAGATTTTCCATTCATTTCAGCTACTATACTGAACTGGTCATACTGTTTAAACAAACATGAGCCTAGGCCAATAATTTAATGAGTTATACTTGATATATGAGCTGATTGTCAGTTTTGTTACTGTTTAGAATGTTTGTGCTTACACTTGACGTTTGGGACATTAATGATGATGGCATTATATAACTATTTGCGAATGGGTCTTGAGTTAGACGCACATTACTTAGGTCTTGTCTTGGACCACTCACCCCCACTAACCTCTTCCCGGACTCGGTCTTGTCTCGGACTCGACCCCCTGTGGTCTCGGGCTAGACTCGGACTAGGTGGTCTTGACTACAACACTAGATTTTACACAAGAGTAAAGGGTTGTGGGAGTCTGGAATAGGCTGCCCAGAAATGTTTTTGAAGTCAATACTCTGGCTTTTCATGGATCACTTAGCTACTAACAAGCAGACAGGCTTACATTTAATTTTTTATTATTTACAAAGTGGTGTTCACACCTGCCTATTCACTGATGATATAAGTCAGAATAAAGTATGCCTGCAAGTCCCATGGTGTGGGACCATACAGTATGTGAATCATTTGTAAGTGATTGTGGAATGTAAGATAATAATGGTCATTATTAATTGATAATTATTGTTTCAACAGTCCTTACCTCTCATTTTGAAACATTCATTTTTCTCCAGCTGATTTTGGAGACTTCAACCATTTCCAGTCCCAGGATTTCCTCAGGGAGTATGTGCTCTTTCCAGTGGTAAGGATAATTCATTAGCTATTGGGTCCATAATGTCAAGTTTGACTTAATTCACAAGGAAATACTATCTTAAGGAAAAGCTGTTTATCTTCATAAATACATAGATATAGATAGGTATAGATAAATACTGTTTAAACCATAATTGCATAATGTACTGTAGGATAGAGATCCAGTGTATAGTTATCCTCAAACCTTAAAAATAGATTAGTACTGTATCTTTTTATCAAGTCTAAACAAGAGGTTAAATAAGATGCATAAAAATCTGTAAAAAATATAAGATGTTTTGGATTATGGTTTCAATCAAAGTATTATTGTATAATTTGATTATCACAATTGCAAATGAAATTATGAATACTTTAATTCAAACGAGTGGTTGCACATAGAGAAAATGTGCAGTGTAAAATGCATGCATCATAAGTTCACAAATGACAACCTTATTGTTGCTTCTATTTTGTTTCTAGTAATATGTTTGTATTTTCAGTTTTGACCCTTCACACTTACATCACTCTTGCATAAAATGTTTTTCTTGTGTTATGTTCACTTGGCCTTTCAAAGGTTATTTTGTTACTTAATTATTTGTTTACCTGTTGTACTTATCTGGGTAACTTACAAAATAAACAGAGTAAAAACAGCCTTCAAATACAATGCGTTATTGTGATTTTCAATTAAAACCACAGAGAGCTGCTGAGTGTTTTACCTAATAAGTCCCTCAAGGAGTTTACAGGTAACACTAATTGCTAATAACACAGAGCCCATTTAACTTGCACATTAGTTTTGCAGTTTCACAATTAAGCCCAGAGTGGATTTTCTGTTGGTGCTGGTTTATTTTTGCCTGAATAAGTTCAAACAGAATATAGATGCATATATAGAATAAGTGCAAGTACAGCATTTAAGATCATTGTATTTAATAATTAGCCAATCATTCTAAATTGAGAAAGAACATTGATGCTTCCTGCTAGATTGAGATCTAGTGAAGACTGAATAACTGTTCATTACCATTTAAAGGTAAGGAGGAAGATAGGTAATTTGAAAATAAACACAGAAAACAAAGAGCCCAAGGTACTTGAATAATCATTAGCAAGAACTTATGTCTGTCCTCCATTGCTACTGGTTAAAACGTTCCTAGTCAATCCTTCCACTTCTGTTATGAAGGGTATTAGAGCCCCAAGAAGCATACCTGCAATCAAGCAAATGGCAAATTAAGCGATTTAAAGAAAACCTGTCTCCCCTGAGAGTGGCTGAACCTTGTCACACCTTTCATTTTTTTAAAAGAGAAACACCTCTAGGCTGTGTCAACAGGGCTCAAGCATTTTATGACTTTTTGTCATGCTAAGAAGGTATAAAAACAGAGAGGTTAGGGAAAGGTTTGATTTGCACCCACTGTAACTTGCAAGAATGTCAGTTCTTCACCTTGAATGCTCGGCTGAGTCGAGACAGACCCTCGCAGGTGTGCGGCGGCCTGAAGGCACGTATTCTGCCTTCTCTTATTATCTCACCAGAACTGCTGCATACTTGTCTGACAGAAACAAATATAACAAGGAGGCCCTGCAGTATGAGGGAGGGGGCCAGAAGCAGAACCTCTGCCAAAAGGCTGTTTTCTCAAGGCAAACGAGTCCTTCTGCACTGTCAAAAATGTTTAATCTGAGGTTTAAAATTATTTTTCTGGAGTACCGTAGTACAGCACATTTGTAATTAGAGGTTATAGTTCTGTGTATTACAATCTTGAGTTTTGTATTATGTTTGTTTTGGGCTTCTAAAGGGTGCCATGCATTCCGACAGTCTACGTTTTGTTTATTTCAGAAATGGACCCAAGATGAAGAAGTACTAGAAGAGCTGACTCAGAAAGTTGCTGAAGAGCACAAGAGTCACTGGTAGGCCCATGTGAAGGAATTCATTTTCATTCTGTGGCAGAATATTCTGTGCAGTCTTCTTATAACAAAAACATGATATTTTTATTTTCAGATGTGAAATGGATGGATATTTGAGATACAAAATATGAGGGATTGCCTCTGCTTTGTTTCTTCATAGAAATACTGGCATATTTTACAACATGAGTGCAAACAAGAGAAAATCATACATACCATTTTGCATGTTTGATCCTCTGATCTAGAAATGAGGCTTAGACTGAAGAAGTGGCATAATCTTACAGCTTTTCTCATTACCCTGGAGGAGCTTAACTAGAGTTTATCTTAGATAAGGCTAAAAAAGGGATTATCTTAGATGTCAGATTCTGATGTTTAGCGTAGGACAATCAGCTGGGCACTGTTAAATGCTTAATTTAATAACATGCCAAAAATGTTCCATACACAACCTGAAATTTATTTTTTTCTTCTATATTTGCATACTCTGTTGAGCAACATAACAGTTATGAAAGAAAGCTGGCCAATTGGCCCATCTAGTGTGTAGTTAGTAGCTGATTGATTCAAGTACTGTAGCTCATCCATATCTTTCTTGAATGGAGTCTGGGTATATTGGCTTCAACACCATGGGTTGGGTAGCACGTTCCACAAAGCCTTCAGATGGCTTCATCTGAAAATGTGCTTACCAGCTATGCCAGAATTATTGATATAAATTAGGAAGCAGGGTGGCGCAAATAAAAATACCTCCTTTGCTATATACATCTCTCCAATTCTGAAAGATACAGAAATGATCTTACAGTAACAAAGTCTTTTGTGATTTTATTAATATCATACCACTCCTGAAAATGGTTCTCCATCAAGAAAGAACAACAGCAATTACAAATAGGTCTTCCTTTCGCTGCTGTGTCTTAATGATCAGCAGTTGCTCTTTTTTACCTCTTTGTTTCTGCTTTAGCCGAATGCCACCTGCAGAAGCAGAGCTCCTGTATATTAAAGAAGTGGAGAGGCTTGAAGGTTTTGGGCAAGAAAGCTTTACTGCTAAGGTACTTTGTTCATTTTTTACATACTGTTGATAAAAAGCTGTGGTTCTTAAGCTGATTTTATTATTCCACATGCAGCCTCAGAAATAAAATAGGATCCTCAAAAAGGCTTGTAGACTACCCTTATAGGCACATGCCTTTACTATGTACCCTTGCTGCACTGCTTTTGCTGTTGTGTTATTGATAATATTTTCGATCCCATTTTACATCTGTGATATTTATAGGTACAGAAGCAGAACTGGGATCTTTTCACAGTGCCTTCAGATACCATTCACCACCTTTGGATTTTTTCTGAATTTATGCTACAAACTCAAATAGAAATACTTTTCTATGGGATGTTTTGTCAATGAGCTGCACAATGTTACTCTATGCCAAAGTGGAACAAATGTTTTTTATGTGTAATTAAAATGAAAATACTGAAATATCAAATCTAGACAAGTACTCACTTTTGGTAGGATAAACGAAATTGAGCCCAGGTGAGTTTAAGTTTCATGTGACCGCTCTCTGCCATGTAAATGGAGTCCATTGGCCCTCTCCCCCAGTTTAATGAAGTCTAATGAATCATCCTTAACAGGTGCCAACATTTGGAATAGTCAATTGCTGATACATTGGTTGAGTTAATTAAACCAGGCAGACTATTTTTTTAATGCTTGCTAGTATTTAAAGGCATATCCTTTTTCATCAGCCTACCATTGTGGGTGTTGCTAGTGTAATACAAACACTTTGGTCAATACTTAATGTCTTAATACGTGATGGACTGCTGTATATTTTCTTTTCCAGGATAACTTTGCCAGTGACATTTATCTTGGAGTTTCTTTTATGGGGGTGTTTGTCAAACACAGAAATGGAAGATCAACCATTGTATATAGGTAAAATCAAAGATTCACAAAAGCATTTTCAATTATTTAAGGATATTTTTAGTTTCTATCTTTGCTACCGAATGTTACATACTTAATTTCTAAAAAAAAGAGTACATTCTTTTCTGTTTGTATTTGGTAATGTCCTTTGAATTATTTTGTTATATACAGAAGTAGCTGCTAACCATTTAAAAGATAACTTTTGCACCAAGGTGCATACAAACTGTAAACATTGATATATTACACAGATGACCTTATGATGTCATTTATATTTATTAATTAACAATTCTATGAGAGGTGTTACCATGGGTGAAATGTAAAGTGCTAGTGGAATGCAAAGAATGTGTTATCTTCTTTTTGCAGATGGAATGACATTGGCAATATCACACACAACAAGTCAGCAATTACCATAGAGCTAACAAACAAAGAGGAGACTGTCCTTTTTCACACAGTAAGTGTTATGACTACAAAGAGCAATTTCAATCCATGCTTAGTTACTCCAAGGTTATCTCATGTGAAAATGTAAAAAGTGAGGAGTATATATGTTCCATTAAATATCTTTCACTTTTTGAAAACAAGAAATATTCAGGTAAACTTTCTACCACCTGCTACATCATATAAAATAATGACTTTAGGGTCTGAGTGGCCACTGTCTCTTATGGGTTTTCTATCCTTCCAAAACTCTCGATTTTATTTGAATCAGTCATTCACTATGTTTCCAGGATTAAAATCTCTGCAGATGTTTTATTACCTACAAAATTTGATGGATACCATCCCTACGGAACAGGAGTGGTTACATTTGCTTTTGTCATGGTGTGCTAACTGATTAGAACTTGTAATTTTTTTGTAATCAATAAATTGCACCTTATGCAAAAATAATTATGTGTATTTCCAATGTACAAGACATAGGAAAGAGTTATTCAATCACATTTTGACCATTTTTCCAGTGGGGCTGTTAAGATAATTTCTCATTCCTCTTTCTTGTCTAAGTGTGTAGACTTGCATACAGCTGCTCATATTCAGCACATTCAGAACTTAAACAGTATTTAAACATAACTGCTCCTAAGAATGCTCTGGACATTTGTCCAAATCAAAGAATACTATTTAGATTAAAAGAATGCTGTTACGGTTTAAAACACTAACTGGGAGAAAAAGAACACCTTTTTATGAACAAGTAATAGGTTTATTCCATGCTGAAAAAAAGGAGGAAGAGAACACAACGTTTCAGCCGTGGATCCCTAAACTCCTCCACTAAGGGCAGCTGTTCCGCCCTCACCTGGAGACAGTTATCAACTCTTTTCTGGGAGAGAACCATGACCTCAGTCTTGGAGGTGCTTGTTCTCATCCCAGCCGCTTCAAACTCGGCAGCGAATCGCTCAAGTGCACGCCGAAGGTCACAGTCAGATGATGCCAAAGGATAACATCATCTGCAAATAGTGGAGATGCCACCCTTAGTCCCCCCAACTGGACACCCTCACATCCTCGGCTGCGCCTTGATATCCTGTCCATGAACAGCACAAACAGGAGTCCAGTGCCCACAGTGAATTACTTTGACTTAATGCCAAGAATTCAGACACAGCACTCACTGCATATAGGTACCGAATAGCACACAAACGCAGTCCCAATACCCCATATTCCTGCAGCACCTCCCACATCACATGCCGAGAGACACGGTCATATGGTCATATAAGTTTGGAGTTTGGAGAAGCCATGGAGAAAGACTATCGGATGGCCTCCAGGTTGTTCTGGCAAACCGTTCAGCGTCTCAGGAGGGCCCTCCTCGCCCAGGCTGTGCAAAGCAGGAATGGGGATGTACTGACCTCTTCTGGGGACATTGTTGAGTGGTGGAAGGAACACTTTTAGGAACTCCTCAACCCGGTGGACATGCCCTCTTATCAGGAGCCAGTGACAGACATATCTGATGCGGGGGGGGCCATCACTGTGGTCGAAGTCACTATGGTGGTCCGAGGACTCCGTAGTGGTAAAGCTGTCGGGGTGGATGAGATCCGACCAGAGATGTTGGAAGCACTGGACACTGTTGGGGTATTGTGGCTAACGCACCTCTTCAATGTTGCATGGAAGGCGGGTAAAGTACCCTTGGACTGGCAGACTGGGGTGGTGGTCCCTATATATAAGAAGGGGGAGAAGAGGGTGTGTTCCAACTATAGGGGCATCACACTCCTCAGGCTCCCTGGGAAAGCCAATGCCAGGGTACTGGAAAGGAGACTCCGCCTGGTAGTTGAGTCTCAGATCCAGGAGGAACAATGTGGATTCCGTCCTGGCCGTGGAACAGTGGACCAACTCTTCTCCCTGGCGCAGTTGCTTGAGGGTGCATGGGACTATGCTAATCCAGTCAATCCATATGTTTTGTGGATTTGGAGAAGGCATATGACCGTGTCTCTCTCGACCAATAAACCCTAATGTGAAAAGGATGCAAAAACCGATTCAGGCAATTATAAACCAATAAGTCTGATTTGAAATATACAGTTAAAGTAGCAATTATTAGAACTAGAGGATTACTTTTATGGACATATCTTTGTCAATACTCAACATGAATATAGATACTGACCAACTTGTTCAGGTTCAGGGCATATAGAGTATTTAGATTTTCAGAAGACTTTTGATAAAGTTCATTATAAGAGTAAATCTCAGACTACATGTGGTATGCATTCAGGACAACTGTACTAGGACCAATGTTCTTTCTTATATATTAATGTTGTGGGTTCTAGTATAGTTAATAAACTTGTCAAGATTTAGATGATGCCAAATTAGGAGAATTAGCAAACACTATAAAAGCTGCAAATTAAATTTTAAAAGATTTTGCAATTTGACTGGTCACACTCCTGGCAAATGATATTTAATGTAGACAATTGCAGGGTATTGCTTGCTGATACAAAACTATAAATGTTATGTAATGGGAAATACTGACATATAAGAGGCTACTTACAGAATGTTTGTGCTAGTTATTTACGTTGACTCATCACTTACATCTACAAAGCAATGTGAAAAAACAATTTAAAAGACAAAATCTTATAATATATATTTAAAATCTAAGAATGTAAATAAAGGGTTTTTATTAAAATTGTATAACACACTAGTAAGGCCGCATCTAGAATATTGTGTACAGTTTTGGTCAGTATGTTATAGAAAAGATATTACCAATCTGAAATAAGTCCAGATACATTCTAGGGTTTAAGGGAGTTTTCTTCACTGCCCATCTAAAGGATGTGGACTGTTTTAGTCTTGGACAAAGACTATAAGGGTGCCAGATACAAATTCAGAATCCTCCAAGTGTACCCAGCAGATTCCTTTAAAATGAACAGTGAAACATGAACCAGAGGACACAAGTGAAAAAATACATGGATTTGCTTCTTTTCCCCAAAGGATTGTGCAAGTATGGAACTACTTTACATAGCAATGTTTTTGAAGCCAATACCTTGGCTCCTTTCAAGAAACGTCTGGATGAGATTGAGTATCAATTAACTATTGAAGCCAAATGGCCTCCCCATTTTTAACTCTTCTCATATTCATAGGTCGAAAATATTCTTATATTTGGAAGAACCTACAGGAAAAAAATATACATATAAAGGTGATAGTGTTTGGAGAAATGACCATGAACAGTCTCAGTAAGATATTATGAACAATGAAATCCCTTAAAAATATTTTATATGATAAACTTATTTTATAATTTTGTGCATCTTTTATTGTTGCTGAGGCTGGTAATTTGCAATGCAGTTTATTTTGCATGATTGTATATCATGTCAAGTAGCTATTATTTTATAAATGTTTTTTACCTGCTTATTGGTCTGTTAATTAAATAGGCTCGTACAACAATAAATTGATTATTGTAAATCATTCACAGTGTAATATGTATTTTATTTTTAGTTTACTGGTCACTTTAAAAGTTACATTAACAATAGATTAAAATATGAATATGGGATCACTTAAAGCACTGTCCTTTAGGAGGCTGTCTGCCCTCAGATCTAATTATGTAGCACTTCATTTTACTTTACATCGTTCCTCCAAAGACCTCTTGTTGTGTTTTGCAAGCGTAAACAAACCCTGAGATCTTCAACCCCAGGCTAATATTTTCCTGTTGCTCATTGCATTCCATTTTGAAGAAGTAGTTTGTCTTCATATAATGCTTTGAATTGAGACCTGTGCTGACATCTGCCAAATATTTCCTAAAAGAGTCATGGAGTGTACAGTATTTACAATTTATTAGTGAAGCACAGTGTGCATGTTTATCTCTGCCACATTTTATTTATCATTTTCCTGGAGCAGTCTCTGTAGAAATACATGTTTGCTGAAGTTTGAGGCACAGAAACAGCATCAGAAATAAAAAAAAAAAAACATGTTGGGTTAAAGGTAAAGGATATGTGAAATACTGTGACAAGCATGATCATTTCAATCATATCTTCAGCACACTTTCAGTTACCACTTATCCAATTTGTTATCATGGTGGCCCAGAGCCTGTCCCGTGAAGCACTGGGCGCAAGGCAGGATACACCCTGGACAGGACAGCAGTCTGTTACAGGGCACACAGACACAAACATGCTGATTTTCCCAGAAGCCAGTCAAGTTAAGTGTGTCTTTGGAAGAAAAGCAGAGCATCTGGAGAGAACCATGTAGACACGGGACACATACAAACACTGTGGCGATAGCACCTCAGGTTCTGAATCCAAGGCCCCAGTGCTGTGAAACAACAATGCTAACCACTGTTCCACTGTGTCTCCCTCATTTTATACACTTAATGTTATTATTATGAATTACATTGATAGAGAGCTTTCATCCCCAAAACTCTAGTGTTTCAGGTGGGCAGGGATGTTGAATCCCAGAGCAGAGTTTAGCTAGAACACTGAAGTTAACACCCTCTTCTTATCTTTCAAACATGGATGTTTAATGACTGGTAGTCAAAATATTGTACCATATTCCTGACTTATCCAAAGGACAACACCTCCTACAGCACAGTGTCTCTGGTCTCTACACCGTTGCACTAACATTTTGACTCGGAGGAGTGCACCAGCACCACTTGAAACAACAACAACCTGTCCTATCATAATGCTAACTAGTCCCAGACTTGCTTTGCTTCTGAGATCTTATGAGATTAAGATACAGTGTGGTGAAAGTGGTTAATCGTGTAAAATACTATGTCTCTTAATTGTCCCAGAAGCAACTTTGTGATAAATGAATGGCTGGTTTGAAAAAGATTAGGACTTTTACTGAGGGAACTACAGAAGATCAGGGAAGACTTTCCAGGTGTACTGTATTTATGCTTGAGAAATGAAGATTTATTTTTACCTTATGTTTTTCAGGATGATATGGAAATGGCCAAATATATTTCAAGATTGTTCACTGCCAGACACAAATTCTACAAACAGAACAAAATTTGTACAGAGTAAGTGAATTTAAAACTGTTCATAATTTTACTTGCTTTTCTGTAACAATACCTGTTGTCTTTTTTTTGGTTTGAAAAACAAACAAAAGCATGTTAAGCATGTTATTCATTATAACATAAACGTTTATTGGGTTCATGTCCAATTGAAGGGTTCTTCAAGTACAATCTGTTATATAAACTAAAATATTATATTTTCTGGATAAGACAAAGTACTTATTTGCTTTGTTCGATAAAAGATAGCTTAGTGGATACCAGCTGTGCACTTTATATTTCTCTGATATAATGAGAAGATACTTATGTTTGCACCAACTGTCCCTTTTTAACTTTCCTCACAGTTTCTCAATGCTTTCCCAACAGTACACATTAGCTTTCAATAGATAATGGACTAATGTCTTTGCATGTTATTTCTTGTTTATTTTCTTTTCCACAAAAAAACATGATTTGCTTTTAAAACCTCATTCAGAAAGATAAATTCCTTCGGGCAGAGCGGTGGCTCTGTGGCTAAGGATCTGCGCCTGTGACTGGAAGGTTGCCGGTTCAAATCCCGCAGCCGGCAGAGGAATCCTACTCCGTTGGGCTCCTGAGCAAGGCCCTTAACCCCAGCTGCTCCAGGGGCGCCTTACAATGGCAGACCCTGCGCTCTGACCCCAGGCTCTCTCCCTATCTGTGTGTCTCTGTGTCTGTGTGTCTCATGGAGAGCAAGCTGCGGTATGCGAAAAGATAATTCCTAATGCAAGAAATTGTAAAGGGTAAATAAAGTAATGTTATATATATATAAATCTCAATGCATGAAGATGTGTGTTAAAGTGCCATCCATACAAACAAAGCAGATTCTTCTGTAAATTCATTGAGTGCTATAATTAACCAAATCAAAGAAGTGATTCTTTGTCCCTCCACACAAATCGTCTGAGCATATTGAAATAAATTAGTTGTCTTCTTTTAATTGTTGCTTAAAGTTTTGAAAAGGTTGTAATAAATTTTTAATCAACTGGCCTGCATTTTGTTTCCACAGACAGTCCAATTCGCCTGCACCAATAAGGAGAAGACCAACGTGGAGCCGTTCATCACTGGTACGACGCTTAGCCAAAGTTGATTAAAAAAAATCTCTGTAATGTTCATGCTCATGGGCACAAGTCTCAATCCACATAGTAAGGTGGGGAAGAAACTACAATCCATAGTGCAGGTGGGGGGCACTAGTTTGTTGTAGGCAGGTCTAAGTACATTTAGGAGTTTAGGGGAAAGAGCATATAAGGATTTCATACAGGACCCCACGAATAGTAGGCGTCATTGTCTATATCAAAAGGTTAATTTTATTTACATTTCTGAAAAAATGTCCTCCACTGCATCAACATAAGTGTGATAGACTTTTTCCTGTCTAGCATTACATTCTTCTACACATTGATTGGACTTTCAGTTTTTATGTTGTCATTCCTGTAGTGCAGTTATTTGTGTTCCAAGCATTACTTAATACACTAAGAAGATGCTCTCTATATGCTGTGTGTATAAAGAGTGATAAGCTATGCCTTTGACACTGATATGTTTATAAAATGAGAGAAATTAAGAAATAAATAATTGGCTATACTAATGTAGGAAACAAGGCTGTAAAACTAAATGGGTGTGTAGGTATTTTGTGAGATGCATTCTTTTTTTACAGTTAGCCTTCAGCTCTACCAAATACAATACAGTCCCTGGTGAATAATAAAAATGAAAATGGCAATATTTGTTGCAGTTTCCTTTGCCTTGGGCATACACAGAAAGCTTTTATTTGCTTTTTTTGTTCTGCAATCCTCTGAAGTATTCTGTTAACATGACCGATTCGGGAAATGGATAGTTAAAGTAAGTACTTAAAAACATTCTAGTTCTACCCTGTTAAAACAAAAGGAGTTGAGATTCATAGGCAGGAGATTGTGGATTATGAGTATTGTATTCTGAAATGATATTCAGTACCAGCAAACCAAATTAATAGACATTTTTTGACAGAACTCACTGTTTCACCAATATGACATTTGGACTGTTACAGCTACTCTTGTTTAAACTGTGTATTTATCTTGTAAACAATGACTAGAATACTGTACCATGTTTAGTACGTTTTATAGTGTCGTGTTTACTGTATATGGCACCTTGTTTATGCAATGCAAGCAGTGGTCTTTTTACTGCAGTTTCTAGAGAAATGTGCCAAACTACCATAATATAAAAATAAAATGGAAACAGTGTAGCAATTAATTATCTTTGGATAAAACTATTATATTTCTAAAATGTCTGAATGCAGATAATTATTTTTCCTAAGAAACCAGTCTTAGATGCACCATACATTAATGTTGTTTATTCTTTAGATGTCATATTTTTAATTATTTAATAAAGTAATTTCTTCAACAGATATCAGTTGCAAAATCTAAGTATCATGGAGATTTATCTGTAGTTTACATACCATAGCAAAATACCATTAATACCATTAGCAAAGCACCCATGTGCATGCTTCTACTTTACTTCTAAACTTCATGTTTTCAACAAATAATTGGCAAATATGGGCTATGAAAAGGGCATGTGTCATGAGCTAAAAAAGTGATAAAATGGTGCACTGCAACAACACCGCCCCCGCTGTATAAGTGTGTGGGATTAGGCTTTGGTTTCCGTTCCTGGTTCAGCTGATTTTTGTTCTACCTGAGCATTCCATTAAATACTTGAACCCTTAATAGACCAAATTATAGGTTGAAACTCTAATTGTGTTGATTCCTAAACCTGGAGGTTGTCTTTTAACTATTGTTATATTTTACTAAATAATAATAATTGCTAACACTTATATAGCACTTTTCTGGACACTCCACTTAAAGCGCTTTACAGGTAATGGGGACTCCCCTCCACCACCAACGTGCAGCCCCACGTGGATGTTGCGATGGCAGCCATAGTGCGCCAGAACGCTCACCACACACCAGCTATCAGTGGGGAGGAGAGCAGAGTAATGAAGCCAATTCATAGATAGGGATTATTAGGAGGCCACAATTGGTAAGGGCCATTTCGAAATTTGGATGCTGGGGTTACACCCCTACTATTTTCCAGAAACGCCCTGGGATTTTTAATGACCACAGACAGTCAGGACCTCAGTTTTAGGTCTCATTCGAAAGACGATGCCTTTTTACAGTATAGTGTCCCCGTCAGGATGAACATGGATTGCAGGGTTAGCACAACCTTAGTTTTTCCCAGGAGGTCTCCATCCAGGTGCAGACCAGGCTCTCACCTGCTTAGCTTCAGTGGGTTGCCAGTTGTGAATTCCAAGGTGCTGGCTGTGACCTAGTTTGGCTTATTTACTTTTAAAGCCTTGATTTTATTATTACCTACATAATTACCTTTTGAGTTACTTGACATTTTTTCTAATTAAAAATAATTAGAAGACAGAATGCAGTAGCTTCAAAATAGAATATGTAGAATATGTCTCTGTGTTAATAGACAATTCTCGTCATCTTCTATCAGTAGCATCTAGTAAAAGTCTGCTAACAGACATTGTAGTCAAATGGGATAAAAATAAAATTAATGTATCTTTTCAGGAATATTGATATTATTCAAAATGATGGGTAAGACATTCCTTCATGTTCAGCACTATTTTACTTTAGATTTTAATTTAGAAGTTGATAACTAATTTAAGATTGAAAACTTTAACAACTTTGCATATATTGTAATTATGGCAAGTGAAGTGAAACAAAACCAGGTAAACTGGAATCTTCTGTGGCTGAAATTACCACTGTTGAATTACGAGCACAAGCTGGAGATAAAAATCAATATTATAGTCCCATTTTAATCTAGTCTCTGTTAATAACATCTCCAAGAGGAGAGTTCTCTTTTATTCAGCACTTTGCTTTTGTCTTTCAGCAAAGACCTCAGTCATATATCCTGCAGCCAATGCATACCCAATATGGAGAACACTATCAAGAAACGCGAACTTCACAAGGTACCTTTTGTCCCTTTGTCTGAGGCATCCACATCAGCCAGCCTTCATTAATCAATTTTACTTGAACAGTTTAGTAAATAATTTTTTGTATTTTATGATCAGTATTCCATATATCAAAAAGGGAATAGCTCTTGGCCACCCAAACCCTAACGCCTTTGAATCTGCCTTTTCCACCTAGCAGACCTTAAGAATTTAATACACGTTTTAAACTACAATTACTCCAGCAAAACAGCAAGAAAAAACAACAAATAGTATATCGTTAACATTGGATTAAAGCATTACTAAATTTGATTTTTAGCAAAAATACAGCAAGAGTAACACAACACACCACAGTTTGTTAAAATGGAAATGTGATGATTTCAAAATATTTCTGTACTATTTTGTTTATGTAATCAGTAAAGAACAGAGTATGGTTTTTATAAAGGTCAGGAGGTCAGTGCACTGATGTTCAGAAATCACAAAACATTACATCATTCAGTGATTCAGGTTCAAAGAGAGCAAAAATTTAGTTTTTGAATTACCTTAAACAAAGTGATAGTTAAATGTAGTTTACAATACCATATTTGATATGACATAGGAAACAAAGAGCATAGTTTCTTTTCCACTAAGTCAAGAGCACCACAAAATCTGCTTTGAACAAAGTTTTGCAAATCATTGGAAGAGAATAATTCTTATTTATGGTTGAATTTATTTTACAAGTTGTTTACGTATATACTACTTATTATAATTATTTGCTAGGGATAAAATGCCCTTCCAAATACATTTTGCAACATTTTGCTGTACTATAAAGAAGGCAGTAAGGCCTTAGAGAGTTCAGGAGAAGGGCAGCTAGATATACAACTGTTTTGAAAGAGAGAGTAATTGATTTTTGTTTTACTTCTGCTTAATAGATTTAAGTGAAATCTCTGGAGTTTTGAAAGGAAGATACAGATTGCAATAAGCGTTTTATTCTGGTTCATCCAGCATAATAGGAATGTAAATTAATCTTTGTTATTTTAGAAAGGATACATTGAAACTGTTCTTCATGAAGAAACATAAATTCCTTGGTCTATTTGCAAATTTGCAGTGTTGATGCGAGGATACTGTGATTCTTCAAATGTCTGCTGAATATTGTTTTATGATTTGTTTAATTACAGGCCTAAAGCAAATGTTGAATACCAAAAGGGAGTGTTCTTTTTTAGACTTTATACTAATTTATTAAATACATTCTGGCAGATAACATGAATACTTTACATTACTGTTTCTTGAGGGTTTCTTTAACACTGTTAATGAAATATGAACATGTCAATGAACACAGAAACCTCAAAATGCCAGTAGGAAATTTACTTCAATTAAAATAATTAAACATTCCAGAGATAGAGTGGTACCAGATTACAAAGTGAATAATGTACTTGTTCTGTCCTTTCTTTGTAACAGACAGCATATTCCATGAAGATATTAACCCCTACTACAAATCCCAGACGAGTCTCGATAGGTGTCCAGTTGACTATGCCTTCATGAATGGGACTGTTCCCAATGGCAGTGTGTACAGTACCCCCAGCATGAACTCTCTCAACCATTCCCAGACTTTCATTCAGGCTTCTCCAATGTCTTCCAATCTCAGCATTCCTGGCAGTGATATCATGAGACAGGACTACATTCCCAGCCACAGACATAGTGCTATTATTGCACCCTCCTACCGTCCGACCCCCGAGTATGAAGCAGTGATGCGACAGAAGAGAGGGATTGTCCACATGGACCATAGCCAGTCCCTCAGAAACCTCAACATCAGCAACACCTTTGCGTACAGGCAACCCGAAGGCATGGTATACAGCCAACCAGAAATGAGGGAGAGGCAGTATCCGAGTCCTTATGGCCCACAGGTCAGTTACAGCAAACCAGTTGCTCCCTCAGCTCATGTGAACCCCAGCAACTCAGCAGCTAGTCAGGCAGCTGCTAGTGCCATATCCCATACTGTGAGTACACCTGAGCTTGCAAACATGAAGCAGCAGGGCACTCAGGGCTATAGCACAGCCCACATGCTGAGAAACCACTTTTCAAGACCTCCACCCCCTTATCCTCGCTTCCGACCAGCCACCAGTACCCCAGACCTGGCCAGCCATCGCCACAAGTACATCAGTGGAAGTAGCCCTGAACTGGTCACTCGCAAGGTGCAGCTATCTGTCAAAACCTTCCAGCCCGACAGCTCCCCTGTAGTGCACCAGTCCCTGCAGGAGGTGAGTGAACCCCTCACAGCTGTCAAGCACCATCCCTCAGTAAATAAGCGCCACAGCCTAGAAGTCATCAGCAGCATGGTACGTGGTATGGAGGCCATGGCCTTGAAGACGCTCAATGCCCCTTTGCCCCGGAGGAACACATTGAGGGAACAGGTGCAGCCCAAAGAGTCCATTCAGAAGGCCCAAGAAGCAACCGCACAGTATCAGCACAAGAAGACTTTGTCCAACGCCACCATGTTGATACACAGCAGTGAAAGTGAAGAGGAAGAGGAGGAAACCCCAGATTATGATGTTCAGATCCCAGGGCTCAATGAAGACATCAGTGCCCAGCTGCAGGCAGCTTTGGCTAAAATTCCTAATAAGCCCCCCCCTGAATACCCAGGTCCTAGGAAGACAGTTAGTAATGGAACTCTGAGGCATGAGAGAAACCAGGGTACAGAAGAGGCAGCAAGAATGCGAATGATGAAAGCTGGTCAGAGTCAGGTCACCCCCCACTCTCGCAGTGAGCAGATCGCTGTCAGTGGCTCCCTGCTTGGACCATCGATTTCAGAGCCTGACTTGACAAGCGTGAAAGAGCGCGTCAAGAAGGAGCCGGTCAAGGAGAGGCCCGTGTCAGAAATGTTCTCTATTGAAGACAGCATTGTGGAAAGAGAAATCATGCAGCGGGTATGTAACCTTTTTATTTGTTTTTCATTAATGGCACTTGTTTTGAATTTTTTTTTTATTTTAGACCTGGTCAGCTATACTGGGAAAGAGAAAAGCATCTGGCTCCAGAAAAATACTATATTAAATACTTTGCAAACTTAATAATACATGTGTATATATAAATAAATATGTAGTAAAGCACACATTATAGTGTAGTTTCTAAATGAACTTTAGTGGCATTCTCTTGTCCTAGGGTCTGGTATGTTAGATAAAACATTGTCAGCAACAGTGTATGCTCCCTTGCACTGTTACATCGGCCAGGTCTGCCAAAAAATTGAGATGTTTCCTGTCAAAATGTGAATTGTATATTAAGACGGATTTTGAAACGGTTCTATTTTGCATCTGTATTGTGTTTCAAAGTAAACTGCCCCTTTTTATGAGACGTTTTGTAAGCATCTCTATTCTAATTGAGCCTTTTCTGAGTCTATAATAATGTTTATATAATCGCTTGTTTAATATAATTTATTGTGCAAGTTTTTATGAGTGACATTTTAGTACTAAATAAAAATTAGTTGCCCCCCCCACAGTGCCAGTAATTAGGCTTTTTGTTTAACTTTAGATTCTGGTGCAAAATATTAATTTATCTTTTTAAAAAACATTTATTACACTGTCTTTACAGTAAACATTTTAATATACAGAGCCAGACCATTAAATACATTAAATATAAAGTTATATTTTTTCCCCATTTTTTAAAAAGTCTTTCACTATTTAATTGCATATTGATATTTTCCGAATTCAATTAAAAAGAGAAAAGCTTGCCCTATTAATTTCCCCATGGTTTCACAGATTCTGACTATCAGTAATCTTGGACTACAACACCTAGGGTAACATTAGGTTGTCCTGGATTAATGCTAATCTCTGCTAAACCTATAGATTAGGTAGGATGTTTGGGGAATTTAACATTCCTTAAATTGAGGCTTGTGGCAGTCTGCACAGTCATACTGACCACCAGTCACATTAGTCTTAGCCTTTAGCTCTTTTGTTATGTAATTTGTATATATATCCTAGCTATTAAAATTGTGGGTACACCTGAATAAATTCATAATCTCATTTATTCAAATGCACCCAGGAAAAGAAGAAACAGTGTGTGTTTATCTTGTTTTATCAAGAGTCACCATGTGTCCCCCTGACTGCCGTGTGTCTATAAAAAATGCATAAATGATAAAGTAATACATGAAAACCAATTTAATACAAAGTTATATATACATTATATATACATTTTAAAAATGCATTGTCTCTTGCTTTTGCTCACCGTGTAAGTACAAAAAGTAATGGGTTAAGCACAAAACGTTTTTATCTTAATATCACACTGATATGTAACATAAAAATTTCCTTTTAGATCTGCTTTAATGGAATTTTCAGCAATATAAAAGGTACACATGGAAATCATTATTTGTATAATAGTCTACTGAATTTATGGTGGCATGACATGCAACTTCAGTTACAAAACACATAAAACTAATTAAATTTAAAAATGTTATTTTGTCATAAATTCAGAGAACAGTGGCCTACACCCTGTGTATCTGTCAGTAAATGTTTGATCTTCAATCCCCTTATAACAAATTTGTATAACTTGCATCCACATACAATATATAAGATTCTTCAATTGTAGTGAAGGAAGGCAAATAAAGTCCATATACAAACCATTTTGTTTTTTATGATATATTTACAATTTATGTGAGATACTGTATAAATCAGCATTGTAAAGATGTAAAGACTTCTTTATTCTTAAATCACACTTCACAAATCTTACAACATTTTCCTTTAATATAAATTTGTTCCACCTCTCTTTCCAGTTAGCTAAACAATAATTCTTGTTTCCCATGCCAGTTGTCCTTCATGAATAAATGGTATCTTCACAGTTACTTTAGGCTAGAGCCATTTCTGGAGACAAACTTTCTCAACAAAGTAACCTACAACATGTTTTTTGAGAATTTTCAAACATTCAAAGTGAAATTTTCTGCTAATGAAGAATTCATCTAAAAGCTAAACTCGAAAGTTTATTTTTTGGAGACACATAAGAAGCAAAATAATCTGAGCTTTAACTTCCTTTTATTTGCAGCAGATCAGGATGTTTGTTAGTTTTTATCCACTAACTAATGGTGTCAGCATCAGTATTGAACAATCTCATTTTGGCAGCTTTTAGAAGGTTGCTTAAAATTAGCAGAGATTACTTTCTGTAATCCCATCTGCTGTGAATAAGTAGGTCATAGCAGTTTCTGCAGAAGTAAAACCTGTGTTTTATGCTCTTACCTCCTCATATGAGGTTGTTGGAGAAGAAGGTCTATCATTTGTGTTTGCTGAGTAAGCTAAGACTGTCTGTGCTATGTGGTTGTAGCAGTCACATTTTAAGAGAATAAAAAAATGTACTTTATTGCTCATTGGACATAATTAATTATTGCTGAAGTGTGTTGTCTTTCCAAAAGACTTTGGAAAAGCAGAAGATGGCAATGGATTCTCTGAAGAGACCTTTAATGATGGCAGCACTGAATGGTCTGTATGTTTCAAGGATGCCAGTGCCTGAGAACCAGCAAGACGATTCCTCCAAAGTAACTACAGATGAAAGGGTAAGGTCTTGTGTTATCAATTTTGGCAAGTTAAAGGGTTAGTGACTGTATTTTATGTCTGTATAAACCTTGTTTTTCAAATAACTACATTTAGTTTGAAAAATTAATAATCCCTGCCCCTCCTGTGTCTAAGAGGCATTTCTGCTGAGGTTTTGGAACCATGAGCTAATATTTATATATTTGCCCTGGCATTAGGTTTTGGCTTCTTCATCCTTTTCTGTAGAAGTGGAATGAAAACTCAGCAATGTTTCAAAAGTGCTCTAAGCAACATGGAATGTTAAACAAAGAAGTCTTGCTTGCAACTGCAGGTTAAGCTTAAAATTACAGACATCATAAGTTCTGATATACTAACACATCAATCTTGTAGGCTAACATCTTACATCTCCCTTTTAAGGTTTTAAAATGCTGTTCTTGCAACACTGAGCATAAAGTTGTAAGACGAATAGCCTCTTTTTGGAGATCCAAAACCCTGCTCAGTGCTTTGGATCCATGGTTACTAAATCATGACATCATATGACCAATTAAACCCAATAACCCAGTCAATTGAATTATTACTAATAATATTAGGGGATTGGGTGAAACAAAATCCTGATGTTTTGTGTCTCTCTAGAGGCATGATGTGTTTCAGAAGTGTTTTTGAAGGAAAATGCACTTTATCTCAGAAGTGATGGGCCTCTTGTGTTGTAAATTTTTTTTTGCTTCCTCGGATATAAGCTTATCATGGCACATCTTTCTTTAATACAGGCTCTCTCTAGATCTTCATACATCCATCCATTTTCTAACTGCTGCTTCCAATTCATGTTTGTGGGGTAGTCAGAGCCTGTCTTTCCAACCTGTTGGAGCCAAGGCAGGGACATCTTTAATGTCTACAAAATAAACAAAAGGTGGTTAGCTCAATAGCTTATCTAAAAGATACACCTAAAACATCATGCACCCAAGGCGGATTTTTGTTTGCTCAAAGACCTGTCAGACTCAGTGTTTTTAAGCAGATATGTGGGCTCCAAGCTGATATAAGTTGTTTAAAGGTTTTAACTGCATTCGAAAGAGCTGACATAGAGAACCAAGATTGTTCACCCTCTGACATGCTTTCTTTTGCTCTCCCCTGTAGTGTAAGATCCTGGAAAGGAAGTTGGAAGAGGACAGAGTTTTCACAGAATATGAGCAGATCCCAAAGAAGAAAGTGGACTGCGTCATCACCACAGCAATCTTACCAGAAAATGTAGAGCGTAATCGCTTCAGGGATGTGGTGCCATATGAAGAGAACCGGGTTGAGCTGGTGCCAACCAAAGAAAACAACACTGGCTACATAAATGCCTCTCACATTAAGGTGTGTTTAGTTGAAGTTTTAGAATGTACAGTAAAAGTTAGAAATACATTATGTAAAGGATCACATCCTCACAAAAGAATGGACATTTGGATACAATTAATAGGCATCTGTAAAGAAAAAATACAGTTTTATAAAGACTGACTTAAGAACATAAACATTTAGAACAAGAAAGATAGGTGACTGGTATGGGGGTAAAGGAAAACACAAATTCGGGAAAAGGGAATATGAGTTGTGCCAAAAGAACGAAAATAACAGACAAAATAGAGCTAGCTAATTAAGTGAGGGGAAGCTTACCTTACAAAACAAAACCTGAAAACACCTGGTCTTAGGTGTCTTCAAATACCCAAACTGACTACCCAAATCCATACAAGACAAAAGGCACTCACCCATACTAAACTAGTGTTTCTAATACAAAGACAAACTACATGTGCACAATGTACCCGGCAACCTTAACTAACCCTTACACAAAAGTTCACACAAATAGATCAACAAGTGAGCTATGAATACAAATAAGGGGAAATGAGTGTAGACACAAGGAATAGGGTACAAAAGAGCACAGAGGTTGATATAACACGTTTGGCAAGGTAATGGTGAATAAAGGATAATACACACAAACAAAAGTACAAGGAGGAGACAAACAAAAACCAACAAAGCCGAAGCTATGTGGAAACACACACACGAAGTGAAATTAATGAAAACGAAGTAAGATGAAGCCGAAGCAAAACGTAAGCGAGATGAAACCGAAGCCAAAGCTGAACCAAGCAGAACCGAAATTGAGCGAAAGGCCCCATACGTTCTGAAAACCTCCAAGTTAAATACCGAAGAAGTTAAGTTCTGATTGGTTGAGAAGCTGATTACGAATGACGTATTATGGCAAAGTGGATTAAATAATGAACCAATGGGGAGGGAGAACAACCAAAGTCAGGAAGTGTTGAACATAGAAACAAAACAAACACACATGGATTACACCGGGACATAACAATATTTCACACAAATTTTACTGAAGTGGTTTTAAAACCATAAGTATCAAACAGTGTTTACTGTGTACAGTATACCTTCAGTTACGCTATTGTTGTGGAATATTTGTGAAAACGACTTCATGTGATTAGTGTGTGTGGCATGTCTGGAATTGTAGTCTTTGTTTTCGTCTTCAATTCACATGACCGACATTTTAAACCTACAGTACATAACTTTGGAGGAAAGAGACCGTACCATCTCACAATAAAAATTGTTTGGAATACCTTTAATTGCACAAACAATGTGCTGTATAATGTATAATTTTGCAGCCAGTACCTGTTATGCTGCGGAGAGCACGTCGATCTTTCAAACTACTATTATGAAATTTGTTGCCAAAAGCATACACAAATATCACAATATGTCCAGACATTTCCAGTACATACCTACAGTCTATGTACTGTGCAGTTTATACTGTATTCAGTATATGTTATATAATATATACTTACAGTATTATTGGACATTTACATACATAAAACATTCAACATTATTGAAACCCAGATGCACAGTTCCTTAGGCTTATTCTTATTGTTATTATTATTAACATCTGATACATCCCCAGCACCGCTATGGGCTTCAGAGATTGTGGATGTAAAGTTAATATTTAACATACTGTGACATATGTGACGCATAAAATTAATAAAAATATCAATGTAGTATAAATATGAATCAGAATATGTAGTATAAAGACTTCTACATAAGAGTTTATTTAAAATTTTAAGTAGACAAATATTAGACATAGTGACTTTAAAATCTTTGTATTTAAAAGGCCAGGTTTTAACAAGACTTTTGAGTAGTCGTTTGAACTTTGAATTTGTTGCATTCTGTAGCTTAGGTGAGGTGCATTAGTAACAAGGAGACACAGATGATGCCAGGAAGCTGTTTACAGGAATTAGAGTTCCTAAGTTAAAGATGTATATGTGACTATTGGGAAAATATATTTAAGATGAAATGTGAAAATGAAAGCCCACACCCTACTGCAAGGATACAATGCTATATCCTCCAGTCTACAATCCTCCAGCGCTACATCAGAAAAGTTAAGATGACATATTGTATGTGGCACCCCAAGTGCAAATTTGTTTTTCTCGCATATTTTTCAACAACTTTTTCTATGACTCTGATGAGCCAAATAATTATAAAATCCACAAATATAATGTATAGCTGATATAATTATATCAACTTCTAAGTTAATATTTAGAAAAAAAGGTTTTAAATTAAAAATATACATAGAGTCATTAAAATTTATATTTAAAATTAAATGCTGTATACATCTAAAAAACACAATTGTGATTTATGTTTAAGGACATCTTTAAATTCCCTTGCTCTTTCTGAGCAGCCTGGAGGTTCATTCATATTATTACATTATTATTAATATTATTGTAATATTTGACATACTGTTATGTATACAGTTATCAGAAATGTGAATATAGTTTATATATTGATTTATTGTTGGAAAAAGGCTATGCCCAAGGGCAATTTGTTAAAAAGGGTTTTTAAACATGAGTTTTGGCTGGAATCGAACCAAGACTCATCACATGATAGCACAGACTTCTACCACCAAGCCACCACTGCATCATTCTGACTGGTGTTTGATTTTCCCTTACAACAGATGTAGTCAAAGGAGCACGTTATCACAATCCCACAGCAAGTAACTGTCCTGAAGACATTGATGTGGTGGAATACTTTTGTTTACCTTATTTTTTATTCTTTGCTACCACTACCTGCTATACATGTGTATTACTTTTTATTATTATTTTAACATTAATATTGTTAATGATGTTCAGAGACATTATTATACTTCGGCTATGTTTATTTTTAGCTACCGATATTTATTTTTAGTTACATTATTACATATTAATATTCCCTATTGAGTGGATTTTAAAAAAGTAATACAACTTTTTTTACAATAACAACAGCAAGTATTGATATAAAAAGCTGTAATGTTTTACATTTTCTAAAGTATATAAACTCTATGTAGTTAGAACGAGCATGGCAAATCTTTTCCAAAATAAACACAGTAAGTGACCAAATTAAAGACTTTGATGCATAAAATATTTATGATGGTGAAATACTCGTTTTATTTTTAGCTGCCAGCTACTGTATGTAAATTAAGTATAATATATTTATATTCAGAAATTATCGTTTATGACATTCAGAGACATCATACTTCTGCTACTTTTATTTTCAATTAACATAATTTCCCTTTAGTTAATTAATTCCACATTAATATTCCATTTAAAGATGCATGGTAGTGAAACATTAAATGAAGTGATCATTTCAATAACATCTAACACACCTCAAGTGTCACCTATCAGTCGTCTTTGGCCAGTGACTCTCACACCATGCCACTCCGCAGTACTGTCAATGCAGTAATAAGAATTAACGTGTTCTGAATGGCTGCATCTGTATGCTCCTTTCCTCATAATGAAGTCTGTTTGCCAGCTGTGTACTATTATGAATCAAGTGTTTTTGCAGCATCCTTTACTAAAATGGTAAAACAAGGTAAAGATTTAGTAAGTTGCTTCATAAATTCGATTTTATATTTCTGGGGTAATAAGCCTTCCTGTTTTCTTAATTTGCAGAATTAGGGCTCGCTTATCAGGATCTTGAATAAACCTCTTATTTCTAATGCAGAAAACAAATATATCTCTCTTCTGTTACACAGCCACCTCTCTGCATGAACTCATGTTTGTGTAAGCAACTTAAGCAGTATTCCCCTGGAACAGCATCTTCGTTGCTTTGCGTTTTGCAATATAAATCTAGGTGCTGGAGTGTTGCCGATAGAGTAGTAATTAAAACCATTGTATCGAATGTTAGTCATTTTTTAAATGTATTTACATCTTATAATATTACAAATTTTATATTTACACGATCAAAAGATAGCTAGAATTAAGAAATAGTGGCAACATGTGTATACATTTAATTAGCACATTTCTTGATTGATCCATTTGGGAACTTTCCATTCCTTACTCTTAGTAGTGACTGTGTATTACCGTGCCTTTTTATTTCTGAGAATTCATTAGTCTTTTTAAAGCTGTAATTTAGAAGCTAGCAAGAAGAATATTGTGATAATTGTAATTTAAAGACCTTTTATTTGAGCCAAAATAGTGTTTTAGAACTATGTTAAAAGCTGTGGCTGGTTAGGTATTTGTGAAGTAGGGGCTAGGACCCTTAAGTGGAGTGGACTTACTGAACTGAAGTGTACAACTCTGGCTCCCAAGACTAGGTGGGCTGCTGTTGCTGTTCCCGAGCAAGGCACTTCACTCAGATTGCTTTGGTAAAAGACCCAGCGGTAATGGATACACAATATAAATCCCTTTGGCTAATCAAGCTTAATGATAATGCAGTTGTTGATGATTTAAGTCGTAAAACGGTCAAAATAAAAAGGCACCATAAACTATTTACACTTCAAATGAGGAGCCCTGTTGAGGGACATTTTTGTAATATCTGGTATAAAATGGAAAAGAAGAAATAAACAGATGGTTACTTTGAAGTGAAGCCAAGATGGTACAGTGGGAGGTCGCTTTTTTCTCCTATTTTTGTTTTTCTAATCCTGCAGTTCAGATAACAGATCAGTAGCTGATGCCTGATTCTCAGATGGCAAACAGCACAGCACATTGCCCCTGGCTGTCTTTGTAAAGAGGTTTGTAATCTCTTTATGGAGGTGCCAGGATGCCGCCTGGTGTTGACTGGCAAGATCCACCCACTCACACAGCGTGAAGTATGGTTAACGGCAGGGGCTTGTAGCTGTCTTTATTCAGCCACAGCACGGAGATTCATGGGTGGCCTTGTCAAGACACTGCTTTGCCATGGCACAGTGTACTCCATGGAACAAGTCAACTCGCCACACTTGTAAAGCTGCTAGTTTTCCGTCTTCTATACTTGAACAAATGCAGCAAATGGGAGAAGGTTGCTTTGCATTTGAAAAACTAAATACATGCATCTTTGGGAGTAATTAACAGCTATACTATGAACTGAGATGTATCTTAAGTGGAATGCAGTGGTGCAATTCAAGCTTTGTGATACTAAGATTGTTAGAGATTCTGTAATCTATGTCTTACATATAACAGTGAAAATACAGCAAAGAAAATCTGTTAATTGGATTATTCCCTGGGTTTTTAAGAAGTTATTAAAAAATTGCCTAAATATGTTGAGCTGCCTGGAGCAACCAAGATGGCAAGTGAAGCCAGTAGAGGTAGGGAGAATCTGGGCATTATCGGCTATGGAATTGCTGACATCATGTGTTTTTATTTTCCCAGGTGACCATCAGTGGAGAGGAGTGGCATTACATTGCCACACAGGGGCCATTGCCCGGCACATGCCAAGATTTCTGGCAGATGGTCTGGGAGCAGGGAGTAAATGTCATTGCCATGGTAACTGCAGAAGAGGTACGTGAGGTCAGAGAATATTTAAATTACGGGAAGGAAAGAATTGAGCCTTTGGGCAAAGTAAGACTCGTGGAACATCCCTAAAATGTAATGTTTCCTGTTTTAAACTACAAAATCTGTTTTAATCTTACAATTGAAAAAAAAAAACAGTTGTTATGTGAAGGAACTTACTGTTTTCTGTTGAACTATAACTGTAACTCTATAACTTCAAGAATTTATGGCAAAAGATTTAATCGTTTGCTTGTGTTTGGAATTTCAGGAGGGTGGAAGACCAAAGAGCCACCGGTACTGGCCTAAACTGGGATCTAAACACAACTCTGCCACATATGGCAAGTTTAAAGTGACGACTAAGTTCCGCACAGATTCTGGTTGCTATGCAACTACAGGTTTAAAGGTCAAGCATCTTTTGTCTGGGCAAGAGAGGACCGTGTGGCAGCTGCAGTACACTGACTGGCCAGACCATGGGTCTCCTGAAGATGTGCAAGGATTCCTATGTAAGATTTATCTTTTTGTTTTTCTTCTCTCTTTTCCAGAACAGTTGTATTTTATTTTTTTTAGTACACATGTGCTTGATATGAAAAATGCTTGGTTTAACACTATCATACTCACCATTCCTTTAAAAGTTCAAACCACTGATTTCAAAAACCAAATAATGCATGGCTTGTATGGAATGCAAAGAAAAAATAAATTAATGGATATTCCAAAGGCCAATGTAACAGCTGTCTCTGTGATATTTTTTCTTATTTTTATCTTTTAATGTTTTAGCTCTCTACCTCACGCTATTAATGGTAGCTGGGTAACTGAACAAGTAAACGCAAGTAAATCACTCGTACTGGCTTAAGGCAAAATGTATACAAATCTGGTACAGCTACAAAGCTGACTTTTTCACAGCTATGTTGGGACAAAAACCCAATGTCAAGTAAGGTATCAAAGATACCAGTGTCCTTATGTGTATGCTTTTCTACTTTAAGGTTTTAAAAAAATTGTAGTAAATTACATACCATGACCAAGACAAAAATGTTATTTCTCATTTGTTAATCAAAGCCTATCTGGAGGAGATCCAGTCTGTCCGTCGTCATACCAACAGTATGCTGGATACCTCAAAGAGTCTCAACCCTCCCATCGTGGTGCATTGCAGTGCAGGAGTGGGCAGAACCGGAGTGGTCATCCTCACAGAGCTCATGATCAGCTGCTTGGAACATAATCAGGTGAGTGCTTCTGGATGTTGTTTCACGTAGCATTCAGGTGGTTGATTTGGACTTCTGATGATGTTAAACATGCTCTCCTTTACATGGAAAAGTTATCCACCACTGTGGTTCTGCCATCCCTTAGTTGAGTTGCACAAACATTTAAAAGCACAGACTTAAGGCAGGAATCATTGCCTGAAATTGTGATTAAATAGAACATTTATGGGTCTCTGAGCCCGAGATGCCACATGTCATCTCATCTCACATCATAAATGGCAGATGTTTGGCGAAAAGTGCACAGCATGGCTGTCACTTTCTGATCTTGCAAAAAAGCCATCCTTACAAGACCAGCATGATAAACATTGTTCTCACTCCAGTTGATGTATTGACGCACTTTGCATTCTGGTGGATCAATCACTACAAGTGGAGTTTTCCAGCAAGTTGCTGCTCCTGCCTAGAGCATCATACTTGGGCCTTCCAATTGATTGGCAAATATCCATCAGGGTAGTCTGCTTAAAATCTTGATTCACCACTAATAGGGACTTGGCTCCCCTGTGGTCGAATCTTCCTGAAGTAACTTAGTAACTCCAACATACTGTACCACTGGCATGAAGGCATGATTCTCTTGATATACAGGGCATGTTGGTTTCTTTCTGTTTTTCTTGATTTAAAACATAAGAACAGGTACAAACTCTGTTCTTTGTGCAACAGTTACAATCTGTTCTTTGTTCTGGGTTTTCTCCAGGCTCAAAATTCAACATTTTAATTCACCTCGTATGCTGTGCTCAATCTACACACTCACTAATGAAATGTAATAGTCACTCAAGTGTTTTATGGCTAGTCAATTTGAATGATCAATTAATACCATAAACATTCAATCCCTATCCAAAGTCCTTATACATGACTAAAATATACACACATAATATTTCTTTTGATGCTCAGTATACTTTAACAATGTTGCTCTATATAACTTTACTCAGTGACTGGTACCAAGAATTTGAAATGTACAGAGTCCTTAATAAAATGAGCAATACTGACACAGGTAATGTTCCTGTAGTACAATACCAAACCCACAATATAGCACTCTGATGTTTCTTAAGCTCAGTCTTGTGCAACATGCTGTACCTACGTAACATACTTACACAGTATCAATATCAGGGGTATGAGTGTTGTGTGAAAACCTTAGACTCCACCTGTATTTTTTATCAGTCGTTTTCATGTGGCAGAGGCTCTGTGACTGAAAAAAACACAATTGTGAAAATGGTTTAAAAAGTACATTGGAATTGTGTTTTTTTAACAGGTGGGTTCCTCCATTAAAATGAGATTTTCTCTCTTTCCTGCAGAAAGTGGATGTTCCCATGATGCTCGGGAAGCTTAGGCAGCAGCGCATGCTGATGGTCCAGACAATTTCACAGTACCAGTTTGTTTACCAGGTTCTCATTCAGTTCCTCAGAAACTCCAGGCTTATATAACCGGATTAAAACTAGGTGGAGTTTGCTGCGCTACTGTTGAATATCTCGGCTACTTACGCCCTTGAGAGAGACAAAAGTATAATTGTTTATAAACCTTATCTGAAAAGCAGCTTTGAACAAACAGATTCAGATTCAGGACAAAGTCTGCATTTGAAAAATCATTGTATTTTTTTGTTTTATTTTTAAATACAACACATTCTTGTAGGTTCTATTCAGGCTGATATAAAAAAAAAACATTTTTCTTTTGTGACGTCAAGTTACCATTGACATAAGGAAAATAATAAAATGCCTACAGTGAACATCCCCACCCTCACTCTTCCATTATGTGTTGCAGTAATTACATGGACATCATGGATATGCTTCTGAACATATGTTCTTAGTTTTAGAGAAGTGTCATTTTTGAAGAAGGCATAGTGACATCATGGCACTCCCTTTTAATTCACTGTAGAAATGTAAGAGTTTTGTTTTTTGGCAAAATGTTTCATGATTGTTAACTTCAAAATGCATGAGATGGCCTAGGTGTCATACTGTTTCACATGAGAAATTGTGCAATGATTGCAAACCTACTAGTGCTCTTTGTGATGCACCCATTTGTCTGCTAATCAGGATGTTTTACCTATTTGAAACACCAATTAGTGAAGATCATATGTTCTAGAAGACTTATTCTTATAATCTACTCTATATCTGTTCCATTTTTATCACAACACAGCATATTTTGATGCATTGGGACTTTGTAAAGAAATTTTCCTTTAGCTAATATATTCTTAAACGTTGCTAATGTAGACTGCAATAAATGATAAACAAATGCTTCCCCTTGTATCATGATGGCATGGTTCTCTTGATTAGTTGCTCTTTGTACCAGGACCATCTTAAAAAGTAAAACTATTGACTGTATATTTATATTCTAAATATACTGGTTGATCACACATGCTGTATGATCAAACAAACTGTTTACTGGGACAGAAAAGAAAAGGAGATGTTGAGTGAATAATACTGAGGACAATACTAAAATATAATGAAATGCAAATATTACTTCTGGACAGCAGAGGTCAGTAGACACCATCATTCTAGTGATTTTTTGGCATTTTCCAGAGTTAAGCAATGTGCAATTACAGTTAACTGTGCAGCATCAGAAATGCTAGCTGATTTTTTGTCTAAATTCTCTTGCTTTTTTCTTTGGGAAATAAAGCAGGTAGTTACAAAATATTAACATAGTAACTGTCGAAAACATTTAATTTTTTCTAGTGTATTTTTATAATTTATTTTATAAGAGACAGTGAAAAGTAACATTAAGGATATTTTTTGAATTACTGACCTTACTGTAAGACTAAAGAGACAAACTTTTCACCTCCAGCGTAGCTTTGTGTGCAAATGTAAGAGATACGAGTGTATATATATAGCTGTTATGGCCATGTTTGTTTTTCACAACTTTGTAAACATTTTTATCTTTAAGAATTTGGGATGTGTTTTATACATAATGGGGAAAAAAGCTACAAAAATACTTTTTTTTTTAGAATTAGTATTTTTTTTTCTAAGTTTTACAATCTATTTTAAAATTCACACATATTAGTAGATAGCTTGAGTTTAGAAAATGTTCATATTTGAGAGATAAGTACAGAGGACATTTTAGTTGTAATTATGCTGTCACATGACTGCCCACAGCCATAACGCCCTTTGAAGCCATACCTATGCATTGTCTCAATACTCAGCAATTTCATTTCTAAAATTTGAGTGTACATTTCAATTTATTAAAAGTGGGAAAATGCAGTCAAGACCTGTGCAAGTCTAAGTTTCTTCCCCGTGGTTCAGCACTTTTGTATTTTTGAAGCAAAGCAATCAGAATTGTACAGCAGTATTGGTTTTATTTCTAGAAAACATCAGGGGTCCTTGTTTCTCACTGTTAACCAAATGTTTACCCCATCATTACTGGATTAAATGTTTTTTCACCCACAGAAATCAGACTGAGACACATAATTCTTAATTAATGTTTTCAATTTAGAAGTATTATTTAAAAGTTATGTATGAGTTCAAAATATATTAGTAGGCAAATGAATACAAAAGGGACTGGAAACTGATGATCCTTCCACAAAAGACTGAGAAGAAAAACTGGGTTGCTATTCACATATGTTTGTTGAATTTGAAACACTTTAAAAAAGTAGATCATTTCAAACAGGTGGAATCTTAAAAGAATTTCCTAGATGTCAGATACATTGTATATTTCCTTTTTGCAGGTTTATTTCAGTCCCATTCATTCCATTTTCTGTTCAGTGGACTGATTTACAGACATTATTTTGTACTTTGGGGAATCTAATTTATAATAAATTTTGGATTTTGCCTATTATTTGGCAAAACTGACACCTTGAACTCAATAGTCCCTGTCACTGGCTATGCTTATAATTCACAAACTGAAATACTACAAAAGCACTGTTCTAATCCTGTATAATTCGTTTTGTCACACCCTGTTTAATTTACAAGGAAAGCATTCAAGGCTTGCATGCTTTTGCATATAAGCAATGTGAAAAAGATGTTTCTCACACGTGTGCAGATCTGCATATTTTAAAACAGGTGCTTACATTGAAATCTGTTGTAAATTATTTTACCATAAAATGTATTAATAATTTGACAGTTTTGAAAAATGTTAACAAAATATTTCATTTTGAGCACCATTCACTCTTAGCAACAGTAATGCAAGATCCAACTTAGTGTTAATACATTTTTACTGGATGCAGAGGGTATTTGAATTCATTGTCACCATTGCCTGAAATCATCTACTTTTGTATTCCATTAACTGATCTTTTGGTAGATTTAAAAAGCAGACAGGTTATTATGTTTAGAAAGCGATTACTATTGTTAGTGTCTCTAAAATTACAATGATTGCTTGTCTTATATCAGAAAAAAAGTGCCTAATATCTGTTACAACCTAATAGTTGTAATCTGAAAAAGAATTAAAAAAATGTATAATATTCAACATTTTTCCAGGGAAGTGTGATGCAAGAGGAGTGAGAAACACCCTTATGTATTAATTACATTTTGGACATAATGGAATTTTCATTAAAGTTTTTGACATGGTACTTTTTAATACTGTAAAAAAAACTTTTTAAACTATGCATGCCTTTTTATATTCTTAATGTATATGTACTCAAATCAGTATATAAGCTTGTGCTTTCCAGTTATTTATGACAGTATTTTGTGCACTTTGTGACAGTATTTTCTGAAATGCATTCCAGTTTTAATTTTTTTAATGTAATACATCACATTTCTTACAACCTTTCCTAATTTTGTACAGTTGTTTAATATATGCTTCATAGCTGCAGTAAATTTTCCTCAATGTAAAAATGCTGTCATTCCTCCTTTTTATGCAATAAAGCATTATTTTCAATACATTTTACATATACAATATATGTAAATGTATATACTAAATTTAAATTTATAGTATATCAGTTTACATATTGTCTGTCTCTATATGCAGTATAAGATTAAAAATCACTTGAAAAACTATTTGAACATTTTTGACTGGGGTATTGATTTGTTTGAATATAAATTCAAATCAGAAAATAAGGAGCACAATTTAACTGTTATACTCTCTTGCAATACTTAAATGTTTTATGATATTTAACTTTTCAGTTCTGGTGTTTGTAATTGTTGGTAATGTGGCTGCAATCTACTTTCAAAGTTTTTTGGAATTTGCATGTAATTTCTACAGTTGATGAGATGCATTAAGTGCCATCATAATTATTGCAAAACATTTTGTGATCCTTATTAATTTATTTGATTTTATCCAAAGTAACTTGCAGGCTTACAATTACCTTTTAACACCTTGGTATCCATTCACAGTTAGGTTTGCTGGACCAAACTGGGTAGACTACCTTGCTCAACCAGTATGGAAGCAGTGTCCTGACCTGGGAATTCATCACACAATCCTCAGGTCAGGTTCTCCAGTCCTGACACCACTCCAAAACGTTTTCCAGTTTCCTTCCCATTCCTAAACTACTGACTCACATTGCAAGTAAAATCAAAGCACTATAACTGAAAACTATGGGAAATTCTAGACACCACAGTTGTCTTATTTTATGGATTGCTTTCATGTACCACCCTTACAGTCACTTTAATACATGGAAGAAATACTGACACTGGTCAAAGTTTGCAGCGTTTCTTTAGAAGGACCAAAAATAAATGAAAGGGTTTGATTTAAAAAAGTTACTCAGTTTTCCCTACACAAAGTAATTCATTAAAAAGACTTGAAGACCTAGGGTTCAAAATTCAGTGTTTTTCTAGCTTGTCAAAAGACTAATGATATTGCTTTAGTTATAATAATTTATAATACAGACAATAAAATTTGCACACAGTAAAGCGAGTGATGGGGATCTTCATAGTGGGATCAAGACATTTTTGTTCATCACAATTTCCTATTCATTTTATAAAACTGTACCCAATAATGATACATTTCAATCTGGTCCAACAAACTAGAATATCTGGGACAAAACTACTAAGATCCAAATCCTCGGTGAAGGGAGAACTGAATTTATTTATTTTTTAATTGACATTGTAATTAACCAAAATTAAGTTCCGGTGTAGCTTCTCCAGACATTGTGTTAATATGGAGGATGTTTACAAGTAAAATGATATGAGGCTCCCTGCGCGCAGGATCTAGCACGTGATCATGTTTCAAATGTCAGGCCCCGCTCATCAGCACTGCTCTTCTGAATCAGTGTGTCTTGGTGCTTTTAGGGATGTTTTCCAGAAGTCTTTTTTCATCATTCTCGTGAGTCTGAATGAAGGAAATGCATCCAGACAAGAAATGCCTTTGTACACATGAACTTTCCATGCAGGTCTGGGAGTGGTTTAGTCCTTAGTCAGAATGTTCTTGGTCCCTGGGTTATTTCACAAACCAAGATGAATTCAAAGAGGTTTAATTTTCACCACTCGCCCGCCCCCAACTGTTAAAGATGCTTTCTGTTATCTGTAATACTAAAGCTAGTCATTTGCTGTATCCATTATCTAGAGTTACAAGGCAAATGTACTTTAACTTTGGAACTACAATCAGTTTATCACGTGGAAAAAAAAACCCAACCCCATTTCTGTCATTCTCAGTTTTTATTACTGTAGTGGAAATGCATGACAATTTCAAAACAACAAACAGAAAAAGAGAAAAGAAATGCATTTGTATAACCTTCATGCCAAGTGTCAGGCTGAATAAATATATTGACAGCTGTCTTGAAAAGGTGTTGCCTGTCATTGTTAACCATTTTCCATCTGTGAAAGATAAGGAGGAAGAACTGAGTAATGTTAAACAGCATATCATGTCCAACGGCGCACACTCAGAAAACACTGGCATCGGTGTGTAGTGACTTTTTAAAAGGACCAAAAAATAAACTAAAGAGTTGGATGCAAAAAGTTGGAGTTTTCCTTCCACAAAGTTATTGATAAAATAGACTTGAATACACTTGACCTAGGGTTTGAATTTTTTTCTAGCTTATCAAAAGACTAATGATATTGCTTTATTTATAATAATTTAAAATACACAGACAATAACATTTGCTGTGACCTACAGTACAATCTGTCTTGCTTTCCAAGTCGACAGTCATCCAGTTTCACCAATTTATAGGTTGATGACTTAAAGGATATTATCAATACGATTGACTGGAAAATAATGAAGCATACCCTAAAATACCTGTTCTTAAATTATGGACTTTAATACTTGAAAATTTACTTTAATTTAAAACCGTTGCTGATGCACTTATTCAAGTCAGAACCCAGCCAGCAGAAGAATGGCAGAACAGAACCAGAGAGAATCAACAGAATTAGTTTTTCCATTAAAAGTCACCACCAAGAGGAAAGAAGTTACTTTACCAGGCCATAATTACAAATATTCCTATAGTTTGGTAATTTAAGCTTGATCTGCAATCTCCTTCTTGATCTCTGCTATGTAATGATGGTCTTTTCCATGGGCCACATCCATTATTGCTATTGCCTGGAAAATCAAATCAGATGATACAAATGCAGATTAATCGCAGATTAAAAAATATTACATATTTTAAACAGCTTTATTTTTTTTATTAGGTATGAGGAAATATTGGCTGAAATGATTATTTGGTTAAATTCCAACTAACTTCCCAATTCCCAATATTTTGGTTGAATTAAACCAATAACTAAAATTAGGGGACTAACATGGAAGAGGAAAGTCCACAGGGACCACAAGTAACAAAAAGTTGTATCATATTCGGCTTTCACAATTGTAATAATAGTTCAGTAATGTGTACTTGTTTATTTTTCCCAACAAACAGTTACGTGACTACATTTATTTTTAGATGGGTCTGCCTTAAAAATGGAATAAGATTTTTATTCCACTGTGTTGGGCAGGTAATTTATCTTGAGGTACAAGACATAAATAATGAAATAAGTTCTGAGGCTGGCCTACATTTTGACTTCAGAACATTACTTGCATATTAACTGGACTGAAATTTAAAGTGATCTCAACAGAACTACTTCACTGGCGATTATGCAGAAAACACTTCATGTGGTCATTTTTAAAATAAGCATGACTGGACTATACTTATAAAAATATATATACTTTTTCACAAATTCCCATTATACTATATGAACTTGATAGTCCTGTGGCATAAAACATTGTAAAGAATGTACATAATAGTCATGTAAAATCACCCATGAATAAGCTTTTAAGTAACTTTTTTATTATGTTTCATTTAAGTCTACAAAAACCAAAACAAACTTTGCTTCTTCTATATTACTTGTCTAACTAATTTCATTATTTTTATATCTTTCAATGGTTACTAGAAAGGAAAGTTGCTCTTTCCTGGTAACCAGAAATGGACCTTTTTTAACTTTAAAAGAAATGTTAAAGTAATAAAATTATTAAATGCTATGAAGGCTTTTCACAACAACATAAAAACAATTCTAAATTTAGTATTAATTTTAAGCTGTATTTAAAAATACTGCTGTGTTGTCCAACTGAGATAAAATGGTATCAGTAAGCAAAAAAAATAACAGTGCTCTTTCAAGTACTGCTAAAACTAAATAAATATAGCAACTCCATCAAAGTACCACTTAAACCAGCAACACTACCAATTACAAGTCTTTTTTTATTTTGTATGTTTGACATTTGAAGCTAGACAAATTATGTAGAGTTTATTTCTCTAAATGTAATCTAAATCTTTACATTTCAACTAAAAGTATCAAAACGTATAGAATTAAGTTAATTCAAATCATTAACACAAATGACCTGTTGAAACAAACTTTTAGAAGGACAGACAAGAACAGACAAAAGGCACCTTCTTCAGGGCTTTCACTCCAAGAGACTTTTTCTCCAGTCCTATATACAATCGGCCCAGCTTCAGCCACATAGAGGCCACATTAAGAGAGTAAGCCGGGTAGTGCAAGCTGGAACAAACCACACAGAATTAGGCATCATCACTGCAGGTTCAAGTTCACTCCAAGCTAGCTGACACACACAGTGGCTGCAGTGTTCCAGTGGGCTCAAGAAAGCAGTCACAGTACTAAAGAGTATGTACCAGTCATTTTGCTGTATTTGTACATTTATTCTTGTTATAAGAGAACATGCATGTATCAGTATATATTATTTACAGTACTGTATTATAATTACAATGCCCTGCAAAAGCACTGGCACAGTGAAGTCTGCGATTTTATCTCTTACCATCAGTTCTCATGCAACAAACACTGATAAGCACACCTCTGAAGTATTTTATTTTTACTAAAGTCAATTAAAATAATTTACTTAAAATAAAGAGTTAAGCTGTTTCATTTTGGAGGAGCAAAAGTACTGGAACAATTGGCTGACAAGTGTTTCCTGTGTAGTGAAGTGCTCCGAACATCCTATCAATTTTTCTTGCTTTAGTTCGGCCTTCAGAGGCCATAATAGAAAATCAAAATGTAAAACCATTTTGGTTAAGAAAAGACTTCAAAGAAAAGAAAAACTTTATTGGACCCATAGCACAGAAACCGGGCTTACCCAAATCAACTACTTGGAAAATACTGAAGGCAGCTGTAATTAACAATCAGTCAAGACCAATTTGGTCAAGAAAAAAAAAACATCTGATACTTTTTCTGTAAAACTGAAGAGCTTCCACAGAAAATCCAGAAACCACTGTGAGCAAAATTGTCGATGATTTCTAGAGTACAGGGGTGAAGATATCACAATCCACAGTTTGCATAAGAATGAGCCAGCAGATTTACAAAAACTATCTCTACTGTTAGATATAAACCTCTCATCAGCACAAAGAACAGAAATGATAGATTCGAATTTGCACAGTACAAAGCTGAGCCAAGAGAGATCTGGAAGAGTAAATGAATTCCAAGAGAAAAGTTTGATGAAAAAAAGGAAATACAGATTCTCTAAAGAATACTTCCTCATCCATGAGGCATGGTGGAGGAAATGTCGAGTTGGGCAAGCTTGGTCACCTCTGGAACTGGCTCACTCCTCTTTCTAATGATTTAACTAATGATGGCTGCAGCAGTATGAATTCTGAAGTTTCTAGAAACATTTGTCTGCTTATGGAGAAGAAAATGCTTCCATACGTATTGTTGAGGTCTTAAAATGATTTAAATCTAACCGAGGATGTACCTTACACACTGAAGAAATTCTTAAATAATTACTCAGTGTTTTGTAAACTCAATGGGTCACACAATTCAAGTGATTATTGACGTGTTTGGCATATTTAACCAAAAACAGAATTTAATTCTCTGAAATATTCTTAAATTAATCGGTACCAATACGTACACAAGCTGCGTATTTCTTATAATGTATGTTATATTGTACTTAGCATTCATTATCTCAGGATCACAAATACAAATGGCTTGACAGCAAAGCAAAAAAAATGGACTTTGCTTTTAAAAGACACTGTATGACAGATAACAATTGGTTCAACATTAAGAACAAAACTAAACAGAAGTAAAAGGTGCATCAGGATTCAAATACTAACCAATCGGGTTTGCTCAATACCTTTTCATGGCGAGTTCGGATGAGTAATGTTTATTAATAATGTCTATGGAAGTCACCTGTAGGGCTTGATTATTTTCTCTCCATAACGCAATGCCCCATCCCAGTCCTGCATGTAGAGACAGACCCCCATGGCCTGATACATCATGTGCAGCATGTACACATTGGTGTCCTCAAACACCGCCCCCATCTTATCCAGACTCAGCTCGCAGATCTCCAGAAGCTCACTAGGGGGTGCTATTTGGTTAAGGAACCATCCCATCTCCACAACTCTAGAAAAACACTGGTTACTGTAGAAGTTCCATTACATATGAAGGAAGATATTCTGCAGAGGATCACTTCAGAAAAGAAACCAAACACCTACAATTTTTCAACAAGTCCACCTTTCCACCTTTGAGAAATGGAGGTTCTTTTGTTTTGCTTTTAGGTTGTAACACTTTTAGAAATTACTTATCTCTTTAGAAATCCTACTGAATTTCTCAAATTGTATGAGATCCTTGTGCTTTGAATCATAAATCATGTGAACTACAGTATTTCCCAGAGAAGATTTTTCTGCAGAAAATAATTCTTTAGCATTTACAGTTTTAAATGGAACTTGTTATATACACACTGCTGCTCTTTATTTATTTTTCTGTTGAAGCAGAAACTAAGTCAGATGCCTCATTTCATTGCCTAATTTCAGCTGGGCTGGTTTAATTTAATCAGTTGTGACAGGGAATTTATCTTGCCTTCGAGTTTCCAATTCTTCTGCTGCTGTGGGAACTGGGGTACTGAGTCTGTGGAAACGCTTCTAGGGGAATGCTAAGGACCGCCTTAACTATGACCCATGCCCCCCATAGTCTGGAGGAAAAAAAACTCAGTAATTGTGGATAATTCATTCACCTGAAAAGAAATTTGCAGCCTAGAATGCACAGATGCTAGGTGAAGTGGGCATAAAGGAAAGGATATTTTTATAGTGTTTGGCTCTTCTGAACTCTTCAATGACGTTTCTGGCATACTTCACCATGTCTCTGACTGTCTCTGGTTTTGGAGGGTCACTCAGCTTTCGAATTTCCATTTTTGCTTTATCCTGTTAATAAATTAATCAGAAGGAGGAGTTTGTTAACATATCTGTCCCAGTTCAGATTTTTATTCCAAACTGGAATAGTCTGGATGACTCTTAAAGAGTATTCAATTATTAAATAAAATGTTCTGAAAGCAAATGATACAGCACCATCTTTTTGAATCTACCTCCAGCTGCTTGAGTTTTATTTTCCAAGGAGGTTTATGAATCTCATTAGGTACAGATAAAATATGTAGCAGAGAACCTCCCTCAACCTTTCATTCATTGCTACCCTATTCAAAAGCCCTACCAAATGTATTGTTATTTTGTAAAACCTTTTCTCAAAGATATCATCACAGGAGAACTTGAAAATTAAGATTCCTAGGATTTAATAATTTGTAGACAATATTGTACAATGGAACTAGACAAAGCAATTTTCCACTTTTTAAAAAACTTGTAAACAGTTGGTCAATTCCCCCTCCTGCTAAACTTTCTGTACCTCCTCTCCCACTTTCAGTGCTTGTGCCTTCTCCATTCCCTCCCCTATGCAGTGTAATGAACTACCCACAAAAATCAGTTGTTCAGTCCCTCAACACCTTTCAACACCCGCTCTAAACTCATCTGAGTAGACAGCAAACTGCCATCTCTCAGCTCTCAAGTACTGTACATCCTTCAGTAACTTTTACTCTCTAATGCACTAACATTTTTATTTCTCCCACTGACAATGTAATTTGCAAATTGTACTTCTTCACTGTAAGCATGGAATAAATACCCACAATATGTTTACGTTACTGCAGTAACGTTTCACACTATCCCTACATACATCAGACTTGGGGTTTTAATGAGTCCATTTCCTGCTTTGCTTCTTTTTGATTAGCACTTGCATTGCACTTCTAGCTTTGTTGTGCTTTGTTTATGAGCTGAATGGCCTCCTCTCTTTCATGGTGTTTCTTAGGCTTGTCCCTTTTTCTTATCCTTTGCATTTACATTTACATGTATACATTTACTGTATACATTGTGCTCTACCCTGGATAACAGCAAAATAACAATATATAAATAACAATAATAATATTTAAATATCTCAAACATTTTGTGCCCTTAGCATTCCGAATTAATGTTAGATACTAAGCAACAAAAGGAACACTGTAGATAACCTACTTTTACAGACCACTGCAGTGTTATTCTGACAAGTACATTTTGCTGATAAATCTAAAACTGGCCAAAAGGAAATCTGCAGGAAAGGCTTACTTTAGACTTGGTGGTGCATTCTTTGCAGTCACAGGTAAAGAAGTAGGAATCCCTCAACCTGTCATTTCTGTCTTCTGTCGGATACAGTAGGTCAATATAGCTGGTAAACACCTAAAAGACAAAAGAAAACAACTGAGCTTACAAGACGACAGCTACAGTCACCTTTAATAGTCCATTTCCGTCCATATACAAACAAGCTTCTGATGAAAAACTTCTACACCCATTGAATTCTCCCTCAATATATTTCTAGGCATCCATCTAATCTGTTATTGTCAGGATCATCAGTATCATACATTTCAATGTTCTGCAACTACTATCACTGTTGATGCTAGCTGTCATTTTCCTACCATTACAATGTTTTACCATGTGGAACTGGAGATTATATGAGATGGCATCATCTTCGTTCTGGAAGACAGTCAATGGATGAATCCGCACTAATCATATTACACTCGCGGAAACTTCCAGAACATTTTTTATACTAGTTATAGGCACATTTCATTTTTTTTACCTTGAGGTCAAGGGTGGCATCTTGCAGAAACTATTTGAAGGCACCTGATTTTGGATTACTAATTGTTTTTAAAGTTTAAAAAGCACAAGCAAAAAATAATTACTTCTTCGACTAATGAGTAGTCTTGTGATTCTCACCTCATCGCCTGGGTTGATTTCCTGGACAGCACGAACCTCGGCCACCGTCCCTCTGTAAGTGACGATGACATTTGGGCAGCAGGTGTGGTTCATAAGAGCAACACTGGAGAAAGAAACTTTTCAAATCAATATATTTCACGGAATCACTTTCAGACAGCTGAAACAACAACAGAATGACTGAAGCAGCCCTTTCAGCATTTTCTAATGTAGTAATAACTATGAAGCGGTGAAGTCGCTTGAAAGTCCTCCTTTCACGTTCACCAAGCTTCTTTCTTTGCATGATTTGTTCTACAAAATAACAGTAAAGTATAACAATAATCACATTAAGTTACATAATGGCTCTTCATTTCATGTGTTGACGTACTGTACACTTAAAAAACACAAAAATCAATTTTAATTGCTATACCCCAATATTTTATTTTTGTATGTAATTTAAGATATTAATATACTTTAAAACTAATATAAAGTTTTAACTAAAGCATAGGTTTTAACATGTTTTCATGTCTTATAAGCCTGTATTTTATCTAAGAAACACACAACTATAAAGGCGAGTATGGAATCCCAACACGCACAGGTCCAGTATAAACAGAAAATATTGAAATACTGCCATAATGAATATTAGTGTAAGAAAGAAAAACAAAGCCACAAGGAATGGAATCCTTTTTTTTTTATATTGTTCAGGGATTCAATGGTTTTAGAAAAAATATATGCAAAACCATTAGTTTGATAAAATATTAAAATAAAGAGTCTTCACAATTCATGTTAAGTGCTTGTCTAGTACATCTCATACATAATTTGATGGTCACTTCAATTTTTTATTTATTAAATTCTACTTAATACATTTTCACCACCACAAGATTTTATCCAGAAACAGACAGGAGTTTGAGATGGAGGTTTGCCGATTACTCTTCCTTACTCTGGGAAGACAGCAGAGCCCAAATGGGAAAGTTCTTCATCTTCTATTGTGAATCCATTGCAGTTGACCTACAAGTAAAATTAGATGTAATGAGCAGGATAATTTTATGTATATAGCAAATGTTTCCTTTTTCATTTTAAGGGACAGTTACAATTGACTGTTTTAATTGATCTTCTACCATTTAAATGGTAAATTTTAAACAAATTAAGCAAGCAGTCATATCCCTATAAATGTATCGCCTTATACTGTAAATGTAAAACAATTGCTTTTAATGGACAAGATTTAGTCTGTGAAACCTACGCCTTAAGGCTTTTAAGTGTTTAGAAAATGTATTAAATTGCCTGCTTCAACTGGTAATGTAATTAAAAAAAAACATTTTCTGCACATTCAATATTTCATTTTTTTAACCATTGTCTTGGCATGTATTAGCATTGATATGGTTACTGCAAATTATAAAAAAACCACCAGAAATGTTTCTTTTGAATGGTAAGGGATAATGAAAAAGTCACAGAGAGTTTGAACACCAACTGGTTACACCAAGTACAGAATGTAAGACCTTTTATGGCAGAAAACATTTCTGTAACACCAACTGGCAGCACTTCCAAGCCAGCACAGCTGATTCCCAGAGATAAATCGAACCCCCTGTGAGGGAGGGACAGCTAAGGATAGGAATGTTCCAACCAGGAAGGACAGCACAAAGCCCAAGTGCCTTTACAAGAGGAGTGATGAAGACTAATGACTTTCACGTTTTCACAGTGCCTTTGCTCTGCGATTGCTTTGTGAGCAATTGAAGGCAAATGGAAAAAACCTCCAACTGCAGGTGGTTGTGAACAGAATCTCCCTAACCAACCAGTCGAATGACTGCGCAAACAAGTAGAATGCACAGAACAGAGCAGATTGGTAATGTTTCACAACTGAAGAAAGGGATGGGCAATGTTAATATCCTTCATCTGCACATGTGGATCTTAAGTGTTGAGAAGACCTATAGCAGCTGATCTTGTGGAAAAAACAAGTCAGCATTGTAAGTGGTCTTTGTAAATAGACAGGGCAGTGTCTTTCAACCTTTTCCATCCTTACACTTACATAAATATAAACGTTTTGTGGCACACTGCCCACCTCCCACACACACATTACTTGCCTATTAGACATATCATTATTTACAGTATATTCAAAACATTTCAACCATTAACCAATTCTACTTCATAGAGCTTAGTTACCTTATTATGGCAGGAAGCAATAACAGTGAAGCACATATCTCTTACTCGACAACTCGAAACTTAGATTTTCACCGTTTTAATTAATGTCAACATTGAAAATCTTAACCTGCATCCCACATGATTCCCATGTGAACAGTCTCAGAGCTTTGGCCCTGTCTCGTATATGTACACAGAATGTATAAGATGACACTTTGATTATTTAATCATTTTTTTATATTTCTGGTATGAAACCTGCTGCACACCCGTTATAATCTGAAGGTACACCACTGTGCTGTGACAGCAGAGAGACATTTTTTAATTATTTAATTTTATAACAAAAAAAGACTGGCATGCCTGAATACATCAAACATGACTCATAGTCATTGTCCTCATAGCACATACAGGGTCTCTAGACTTATTCACATCCCAAATGAAAAAAGACCAAAAAATAAATAATAACATAATAACAAAAAACTTTACAGACTAGAGTGGCCTGTTGAAAAAATATCATTCTGTAATCTTAATAGCATTGCGCAGAAAGTAACATTTGTCATAAATAATGAAAGTCCCATAAAAGTGGCTCACATTTTTCACTTTTTTTTGTAGTTGGTATTTTGCAAATCCTAACAAGATGCCTCCTGTAGCGCACTATGATGTTCCTGCCTTCTCGATTGTTTGACTATTCCTTCCTCTCAGGCAGAATTCTTTAGGCTGAACTATTGAAAGCATTAGTAGAATGTTTTCATTCTGTCTTATCTCTATTTCAAAAGCAATATCCTCTGTTCTTCATTACAATTTCCTAGAAATCCAGTCTTTTTTTTTGTAGATGATACAAGCCAGCTTTTCCTGTTGGCCAAAAACAGCGGAAAGTAGGTGCTGAATGTCTTGAAAACTGACCCTTTTCTCTGGGTACGCATGTGACTTTCTCTAAAGTCAAGAGTGCATGCCTTATCTTCTTTGTGATAACCACAAGGTCTGTCTAAAGATCTCTACATCTTGAATTTTCTGCAGAGCAGAAAAGCTTTGTTAGGACTCAGGTGGCAAACCTAAGATTCATACGAGCCCGAGTTCATTTAAAAAGAACTTTCTGGATATACTGTAAAATGTTTTTTAGATTAAGCAAGAACTTGACACGAATATTTTCCACTGTTGCTAACGACTTACATGTGATCAAGAATGGTACTCTTAAAATTGTTACTCCTAAATTAAAGTCTATAACTAGGTCATAAACCATGTGATGTGTCAAAGAAAACAGGACACATCACTTCACAGGCAGTTGGAAGGGCAATATCAGGGGGAAAGTTTTCAAGGAGAACCTGATACCTCATTATTAAGACACTTCACATGAATTAATTTTGACAAAAAGCAATCAATTGACAGTATTGACAGTTGAAAGTATTAAAGTATGGGCTAAAGAAGCAGAAAAATGTATTATTCAGCTGAACTGAAACAAATTCACATACAGTGTATTTACAATCTCTAGAATTAAGACACAACAGATACTTTGCTGGATGAAGACATGGATACCTTTTCTTACCTGTGCAAAAAGCACCATAAGAGAGGCATTATCAGAGTATTCCAAGTGTTTGGAATAGAAATGATGGAGAGCAGCAATGTCAGTCTGAATCATCTCCATCTTCTCATTGTCCAACTTGTCCAGATCTGCAGAGCACAGAGACTTGTGTAGCAAAAATACATGCAAGGAATTAACATTCTTTGGACTTTGACATTACTGTATATACTAGTAAAATAAATATAAACTCTTTAATCTTTATGTATTTTATTTATAATAGGAAATGGTTCATGTATTACATTACTATTGTACTCAGGTGTTTACAAAGGAAGAAACAGAGAACATGCCTCAGGCTAAATAAATAAAAAGTATATAATGAATATAATTAGCACAGAAGAAGCACAGTGTAGGTGCTACTGTTACTTAAAGCACTTAAGATAAATTGCCAGAACCTGATGGTAATCAGCCAGCTGTAATTAAGGAAACAAGAGATGTTATTTATATGCCATTAACAGAACTCTCGCAGCCATCTCTCGAGACAGGGGTAATACCCACTGACCGGGAAATTGCAAATGTAGCATCCATGAAAGGGGTGACAAAGCCAAACCATGTAATTATAGACAACGGGTCTTATTCATATTACATTAAAGGTTCTGGAAAAAACAATCCAAAATAAACTAGAATAAGTCGGTAAATTCCTAAGGGATTGTGACCATGGATTAAAAAAAAAAACACGTCTTACTTTACCGATGAGACAAATTTACCTACGCAAGCAATGGCAACAAATGATATAAACAGAGCATGTGATATGGCATTTTAAGATTTTTATTTTATAGTTTTTAAAAACGTTATTAATTAAAATCTCATTCTAAAATTGCAGGTGGTAGGCAAACCATGTAAAGCGTGTACTTAAAATGATTAGGAATTGGTTGCTGGATAGGAAACAGATGGTACTGGGTAAAATGGGTAATGTTCAGATTTGGGGATTTACTGTAATTAGTGGAGTACCCAAGGATGTATATTAGGACCACTACTCTTCCTAATTTATGTCAATGGTCTAGAATCTCGGATAATTAGGACGATATTCATGTTCATAGGTAGTAGCAATTGCCACATATATACAATCCAAATGATTTCCCAGCTGCTACTTGAATTCTCAGTATTATACTGTATGTGTCACCTTGGCTGACAAGTCAGTATACGATGAGTTGGTGTACAATCACTGGCTTTGTTATAAGCTGGTACAGCATGCTCTTTATTAATAGTGAAATCACCAGAATGAGAAGTGAGCAGAACACAGAAAAGAAAGCATCTACTGTTCATAGGGCTCAGCACAGTTGGCAGAGTATTTTCCTAAAGTAAATGAGTAAGTACTTGGTAACTGCTAAAATTTTTAGTATTAATTTATTAAGTGTCTCTATAACATATGCCTTCTAACTAAGTTTTGTTATTCATGACTCGGCTGATTTATGAGAATTCTTTCTAAAATAATGCAGGAAGAGGGAAGAGGCTAGAACTAAAGGAAACTCAATGGGTTTGTGGGACTGAGGAATTGGAAGAAGTAGAATAATTATACTGTAGGACAATTTTAAAACTGTCCCTACCTAGACTACGTTTCTCTCGTTTTTATTTATTTTAGGGGAGGGGAACCAACTGACTGAACTACTGATAGACTAAGTATTTACGTATATGACCTGGCGAAAATGTTCAATGTTTATATACATAATAAGTACCTACTGTATATTCAAGGCATGCCTCTATTCATTGTGTATCTAAATTTGACTTTTCAAGAATACTGAACCTATATATACAGTATTTCCCATCATTCCAGTCTTTCCCATTATGCCTTATTGGTTTTATATAGCCTCAAATCTGTCTTTAAAAGAGCTTGAGTGTTACAGGATGATACCAAAATAGAAGGATTACTAAACACTGCGGAAGACTTGGCTTGGACCAATTCAGGACTGTGCAAACATCTGGCAGATAACATTTAATGTACCTCCCCATACTCGTCTACATGCAGGCAAAAAAACTAGACTACAGATCTAAAACAGGAAACACTGAGCTTGAAGAGGCTACGTAAGAGAAAAAGGTATTTATGTAGGCATCATTTTCATCTTACAAGCAATTTGGGGAAGTAATAAACAGGAAAAAATATGATATATAGTTAAAAGTTAGAATTTAATTTGAGCAATAATGTTATGTTACAATTCTATAATGCACTAGTAAGACATTATTAAGAATATCATGCACAGTTTTTGTCATCATGGCACAAAGATATATTGCTGCTCTAAAATCACAATATATTTCTGGGCGTTCTAGAATGTCGTACAGTGATACAATAAAATAACTGAACTTTTTAGTACTGAAAAAGAATACTGCAAAAAAAGTAAATCCAATTGATAATTTTATACAAGGGGTTACTGCAGTCTGGAAAACTGCTATGATCCTGAAGCTAAGACCCTGGATCCTTTCAGAAAATGTCTGGATGACACTCTCAGATCAATCAGAACTAAGGAAACAAAATGAGTGAGATAGACAGTTTCTCATTTATAAATGTTTTTTTTTGTTCTTGTGAAAGATTAAGAAGGAGAGAAGGCCATTTGGCTCATATTGCTGTAATGTTTTCACTGATGTGTCATCGTCCTCTAAAGAATGTCTATTTCTAGAATAGCTGCACATTTAAGTTTAATTTACTCCACATGACAGTCATGGATAGTCTTTATTAGGCTTTGCTGCAAAACTGTTAGTGTTATACATAAAAATAAAAAAATCAATAATTGTCAATTATAGCTTTTGGGAGGCAGAATGACACAGTGATTAGCATTGCTGCCTTGCAACGCCAAGGTCCTGGGTTTAATTCTGGACCTGGGGTACTATCTAAGTGGAGTTTGCATATTCACCCCATGTTTGCATGGGTTTCCTCCAGGTTCTCCAGTTTCCTCGCACTGTACAAAAAATACTGGTAGGTTAACCGGCTTCTGTAAAATTGGACCTGGCGAGAGTGTGTGCTTGTGTTTGTGTCTATGTACAGTATGCCCTGCGATGGACTGGCTCCCTGTTCAGCATCTACCCTGCCTTGTGCCCATCGGGGCGGAGTGGTGGCTCTGTGGCTAAGGATCTGCGCCTGTGGCTGGAAGGTTGCCAGTTCAAATCCTGCGGCTGGCAGAGGAGCCCAAACTTCCCTCCCTGTCTGTGTCTCATGCAGAGCAAGCTGGGGTATGCGAGAGACAAATTCCTAATGCAAGACATTGTATATGGCTAATAAAGTAATCTTAATCTTGCTTGGCAGGATAGGCTTCGGCTCTCCCTTGACATTGAATTGGAAGAAGCATTTAGAAAAAGAATGGACAAAATTATAGCTTTCTTATAAATCAGGTTTACTATATTTTACAAACATCAATAACTGAAACCACCTTAATCTGAGTCAACGGTAGAAGAAGTAGATGAGGGTAGAAGTTGAAAACGCCCTGAAACAACCTGCTATAACATATACATATATACATATATATAGTATGTAGCCAAGCTGTCAAAGCCTTAAAGTTTTCTCTTGTCAGATAAATGCACAGTTACCTTTGGTGTGCTACTACGAGTTTAGGCAGAAACAGTTACCAGTTGCTCCCACAAAGTCCAGCACATGGACTTCTCCTATGATGCTGACCTTACAGGTTTTGTAAGAAGCTTTAAAACATTTGCTCAATTTGCTCCGTTACACAGTAGTGGGAAAAAACAGAAGAACGTTAGAGCATCAGAAAGGTCTGTGAACGACAGGGGGTCATTGGCCCCATCTTGCTAATTTGGTATTAAGTATTTAAGTGAATCTAAAATTTCGACCAGCCATTTCAATAAAAGTGTTGAACCACCTGGCAGGGAAGACTATTTACTCTTTTAGTATTTTTTTTCCTATTCTCTGTCCACAAAGTATCCAGCCACAGGATTTGAACCAGCAACCTTCCAGCCACAAGTGCAGATCCTTAGCCACAGTGCCACTGCTCCACCCCTTATTCATTATTGCTCATGGCCTTTGATATACTTGATAATTTACCATTTGAAACAAAAAAACAAATTTGCCACTACTAAACTTTCTTACATTTACTAACCTGCACTTTTAAAATGCATCAGATCAATTTTCATGCTTTTGCACTGAAGGCAGAGAAAGTCTCTGGTGAGAGGCCTTTTCAGATACATCTTTTACACAACAAAAAAGTGTAGCCTAGCCAGAGGCTACCACCTTTGCCAATGACAAAACAGCACGTGCCCAGCCATCTTACAGATAAGGAAAGTGCTGAATACAAATACATTTCTAAAGCCTTTTTCCCTTTTCTTCTCCATTTAAAATATAAAGAGTTCCTGTGATGCCAAATGGATCATTTTCAAAAACCAAAGTAACAACTTAAAAGCACCAGGTGGCATGGCGAGAAACCCAGAAAGAACACTACTCACTCCTGCCAAGAGTACACATCACAAAAAGGTGCGATTAGCGAATCGGCTTTGAAGAGCTTCATTTGTGTTGCCCTATGGGGAAGTGGAGAGAAAACTGCTTTTAGAGCCATCCAAGTGTGGACTTGGCATCATTTCCAGAGAGTGAATAGATAATCTGTGGGCCTGTACATGATAAGAAGTCTGTTATATATTTGATCTTTTCAACATAAATTCCTACTGGAGTTCTCTAAACTACTGACAATTACTGAAATCAAAGAAATAAAGATGCCACCTAAATTAGAAGACATACAATAAACACCACCAAAATAACAAACATGATGCAACATTCAGTTGTCAATCTAATGTCAAAGGCACAAACGTTTGGGGTTGAAAAACAAAAGTGTGTCTTTTTTACCAAGAATATTACTAGATGCTGTTGGCTGTCACGTTTTAAGCTGCTGATGTAACTCATTCTTAAGGCAAGAGACATTAACAGTCTAATATTCTGTCAGATCAAAACCTTCTGCGTTTTGGGCTTTGTCATTTATTTCTCATTAGCAAAACAGCACAGCGGTCCCATTGGTGTATTGCAGAGTTACACTTTACCTTTAAGCACTGATTATTGATGTGTTGCTAACTTTGTTCTTTTTCATGGCAGTTGGACTGGAGGTTTGACATCTTGAAATTGCATATTGAGAAGTGTTTTGAATTCTTCAGTAAATCGTACAGGGCCATAAAAATTCAGGGATTCAGCCAACTGTGACTGGAATTTTCCGGGCTGCTGCATGTGTAGCACCACCAGTGTAGGGCTAGGATTAGTCAGCCAGGTGAAAAGTGATTTCTGTAAATTGACAGGAGCCAGCAAATTCACAGTGATGTCATAGAGAGATGTATCACTCATTCAATTGATCCAAGGCATTCCTGTAAGGTCCTGTGAAAGTTCTAATGCTTCGAAATATACACAGCTCTGAAAGTGTGTGTTGTGGAGCTGCTATTTACATTTAATTCTCACCTGTGTGAAGCCATAAAGCAGAATCATGTACAACCTGACAATTCCTGCAATCTCGCATATGAAAAGAAGTGTATTAGCCTGTTAACAAGTAGTAGACATGAACTTTCCACACGTTAACAACCTGGACAAACAAATGGAACATTGGAATGATGAAGAACCTCCACATCAGTTTATGTTCCGTGACAAAATTAAATTTATATCATTCCATCTATGATGCAGACAAAACCTTATATAAAGACACTGACATCAGAATAGTGGCTTATAACGTGAAGCACAGGCTCTTTCATGAGAAAAGTAATTATGCTTAATTAATGTAATAACATTACAAAAGAAATATTATTTGCTTTAAAAGACTAAAAAATAAACATTTTCACCCAAACAACAAATGGTAACTTGGTTAGGCTGCTTCTCCATCTGGACTGTCTTTCCACCCTTGCTATGAAGCTATGCAACAATGTGGTATATTCAAGTCATTAGTTTAGCATCTCAATAAGGTTGTATTAACAAAGAAGATCAAGGGTTTATGCCTGTGTGCAATTAACACAAAAATATTTAAACCTTTTCTGTAAATATAACAGTAGGCCACACTATAGTACAGACTGTCATGACACAATTAAAGACCCAGGAACCATAAGTGTGACAAGAGTTTCTAAATGATTAACGCATAACCTTTTATGCTTTATAGATTAACTGCATCTTTAGCTTTTTATCACTGACATTTAATGCATGTAAGCGTAGAATCTCACCACTTTAAAACCCTGTTGAACACCTATGATTGTGCTGCATAAATAATATTACCTCCTAACCTAATTACATGTCTTGTAAACACACAGCTAAATTTCTTGTATGCTTGTATATTTGTGCCTAACATAATAACTATTATCCCTCTAATGCACTGAGTCATGTACAGTGAAGACTCAGCTTTGGTTATTTCAGGTTGACGTGACCTTTAAGAAGAATAAGGGGCTATTAAAGGGATAGATCTTAATAATTAAGCTTGTGAATTATGTGATGTATATTCCGCTTCACCTTTCTTCTACAGGCAATAGGTATATATTACCTATTAATTGAACTACTATATTCTACATCAGTCTAAAATAAAGTGCTCTGTACTGCTATAATTCTTAGTTTTCTATTTTATATATTTAACCTACAGATACCCTTAACATTTATACTGCTAAACTGTACATAAAACTGCAATGCTATAGTGCTGTTTGACAATATATAATATTTCTTGTAGTCAAAATAATTTATGATGTTTTACAGTTCATGTAACATTATTCTGTATGGTGTAAGGCTATGAAAGGCAAAATTCTTTTAGTTAATTTTATCTCTCCAAAACTGGTAAAATGTTTATACAAGCCAGAGTTATCTCAGCAATGTGCACGGCAGGATACACCCTGGATGGGATGCCAGTCCATCGCAGGACAGACAGACAAAAACACACATACTCACACCAGGAATTGAACCCAAAGATCCAGTGCTGAGAGGCAGCAATGCTAACAATTTCACCACTGTGCCATCTCTTTTGTGCACATAAAAAAGTTCAATTTTATCTATATAAATTTTGACCTGAAAAGGTCACGGTTTGGTTCTGAAACCAAGCCAACTGATTAATATCAGTTCCATATTTCCTACTGTTTAAGTGCAATGCTTTTCTTACCATTTCACTCCACAACACCTGATAAAATGTTGTTCAGAATACACCACGCAAAAGGCCAATATGTTCAACGCAACAGCTGTCTTGACAGCTGGTCCTAGCCTACTATATTCAAGCAATCTCTTACTCTTCTTTTGCAGGGGGAATGTGGATGTCAGAATTTCTGTTAGTGTCACCTTACAATAGGCGATTGATTTCAAGCTTGTAAGTTGAAGCTAGTCATATGATTAAGCATGAGTTTTTTCACATTCATTTAATTATTTCATTTTAAAATTTCTTACAAGAATATATAAAAGAGAGTGGTGATCTTACCAGCATATCGTAATTAGTTAATTACATTACTTACTGTAATTCAGTGTTTGTAATCCATTATGCCAAAGTTTCTCAACTACAGTTCTTGGGGCAAAAATCATATTCTTCGAACTTGTTTGCTTTGTTTTCTGTCCAATCAAGTACTGTAACTCTAATGTCATACTTACGTGATTCGAACTCCTTAACGGATAACAACTTCTCTGATGTGGTTTTTTCTGTCTGTATTTTCTGTCAAAAACAAACAAAAACCTGACTGTTTCACCCTGAAGTGACACATTCAAAACAGGACATATCCTTGGAGAAGACATAATGTGATTAAGATAAAAAAATGTATTTAATACCCTCTTTCTTACAGGTTTTGCAGGACCAAGTAGCTCAACCAACAACACTGTTCTTTGTTGCAGTGCAGATTGAGCTCTACAGTTCCAACATTACTAGTTTGAGTGTCTCATCTAATCTATGAGTGCATTTGGAATATGGCACTCAAAACATTTTAAATATTCTTTATGTTAAGTTCTTTTTTTGAAGAGCCAGTTTCTTCACCTCTATTCATATTCAGTGGCTGTTGGTTTCTACTTGCATTCAGCAACACTTGGGGAAAAAGCAAAACAAACCTGGGCCTTTGCATGCATTCCCAGTCAAAACAAATACACATCTTGTCTCTGTCCGCCTGTATCCACTGATAACACCCAGTGTGTTCCTTGCACTTCATACGACATGAAATGCTTCACTGGACACTGTTCCAGCTCTTCTCAAGAGTAGTAGTGTGTATATCTATCTATTATCCAGCTAATTTTCTTACAAAGTTCTTTAAATGTAGTTAAAAGCTAGTGTATTAATGAGGTAAAGATTGCAAAAAAAATCTAAATTGATTAATTATACAGTGCCCAAACATGTAGAGACAGCAAATTCAAAACTCTTACTTTAACTTTATGGTCAAGCAATTTGTTTTTGCTTGAGAGGAATCTGGTTCAAGAAACAAAGAAAGCATTTGCTAGTGTCATGATTTAGGATTTAGATATTGATTTGATGTCCTCTTATTTTATGTATATATATTTGAATCATGTGCTAATCAGTTTCTGGGCAATTTTATGCACATTTGATTACATGAGAACAAAAACATACATTGTGTTCAACACAGTGATATTAAGTCATCATGAGGATTGGGACGCAATCACTTCAAATAAATTGCCTTCAACAATTTGAGTTTTTGCTCATTTATGGGTGTCCAAAAATTCCAATTTCAACTTCAAATTTTTCCTGAGTAAACTGAATGCTCAATATGATTTTTCATTTTTTAACTCTTTGGTTGCACTGGCCGCATGTGTTGAGTCATTGTCATAGTGGCAATGGTGAAGTGCTGCACAACAAGAAAGGAAGCATTTTCTTCTACGTAAGCAGGCAACATGACTCCCACAATACTTTACTGATGTGTTGGTAGTCTTTCTCCATAGTTTTAACTTTCCATATTTTGGTAAAGGTAGAACTGCAGAAAGTAATTGATTTTGTCAAAAATTAAATAGTTGTGGTATAAAATTATATTTCTAGTAATGTTTTCATAATTGTTAATATTATTATTATTATAGGTCAGAGTGAAAATTATAGTTTAGACTTCATTGTCCCAAACGTTGTAGGGCACTGTATCTCAAGAAATGCAACCTGGTTACTCCAACCTAACTAGAAAACACAAGAGATGACTTTGACACATAAAAGGACATAAGGAATCAAACCATATCCTGAATGCAGCTAACTCTTTAACACTCTTTAACTTGACACTTTTAGCAGGAGAACATGTAACTTACATGACGGATGATTACAGTAATTTTAGTCCTATTGTTAACTTACTCTGGATTGATTTCTCCTCAAATCAATGATCCATAAAACCTAAATTCTAAACTGTAAAGGATCAAATAAATCCTTGCAATCAACTTTCTTATTTTTTCCTGGCCATGTAGCTCTCATTAACGCGTTTGCAGCTGTTAATTTGAAACATCTTCTCCACAGGGCTTTAGTTTTTCACCTCAGGTTCATTTCTGGCTGGGATTTAATTCAAATTGAGTTTCGATATGTCAAGTCAGCCTCCACATGTGCTGTCGTCTACATAACAAAACGGAACTGTGGTTAGACACAGTTTGTCACAACTGCCTCATCTTTATCAGACAGAGGTTCACAGATGATTAAACAAGAGAACTGGCAATACTCCCTCGGCTTCATAATGCAGTTTTCCAGGTGTTTCAACACATGCTATTTATTTAATTTACCAGTACCACAAATCAAAGATAGTAAATTAGTTTTCTTAAGAAACAAACCTCAGCAGGAAAGTTTATAGGGCAAGCAAGGTTTTAAACTAGGCAACAGCTAAGTTTTTTTACATCTAGTGTTGTTTTGGAATAAGGTCATAAACATATAAAAAAGCCTAAAGGTTATAACAATTAACATCATTTTCATAATGTACCTTAAAACAATTTTAAAATAGCAGCTCATTCATCACATTTGCTGACTAAAGAAAATATTTTAATGCCACCTAACGGACATATACCTGGCACCCATTTTTGTGTTGGCAAAAAGCTCTCACTCAGGTTGCTACACTGTCAATGACTCTTGAGAAAGTCTGAATTTAAAAGTCTTAAAAAAGAGAGAAAAGGGAGGGAATTGGACTTCTCTGATTTCTCAGTTTTGAATTTACTTATCCTACTGTTCAGAGACTAATGAACTGCTAAATGATGAGATAAGCTGCAGCTCTGTAAAACTGAATGTACCTGTGACACATTATCTAGAAAACTATGTCCCTTCTCATCAATAATAAAGGCATCCATCCCAGGTATTGTAAAAATTATGGTAGAATTATTGGTTCCAATGTTACCAGCAGCTAATAAGTGAACATCATTACTCTAAATGCAGAGGGAGGGCAGGCAACAACATTACCAAATGCAGAATGTGGTTTTACATCCAGAGATATAGATTTTTTCAGATATGAGAAGATTATGTCCATCTTTTTGAGTTCAAACAGTGTTTCTCTGTTTAGATTGTCATTTTCTCCCATTTCAACTCCAACTGCAACAGAACTGTTACAATTTAACTGCCCGTCACCATCGTGGATGAAAGTTGTTTATCATGGATGAGGAGCTCCTGTTGAGCTTGTAATGCCTGGTTGCTTCCCTAGTTACAGTAGTCTAACTCCAAAGCAACGTCTCATGTCTTGAGATGAAACTGATCTGAACGTCACAATCACAACAATTTTTAATGATGTTTGTTCTTGGTTTAGCTGCATTGCTAAAATGTTACTAACATTAATTTGTTTTTCAGACTGTTCCATATAGACAAGTGCTTGCTTTTAAATGCACGAGTGAAAACATAAGCCTTTCATGAAACGTCATAGATTTATATATAATGTAAAACATTTCTATCCCCCAACCACCACTCCCACCCACATACGTACAAGGATTTACAAGACTCTCTGTGGAAAACCCATTTCTCACCATGATGCATGGAATAAGTTCAGGTACTGTGTGCTACCACTTAAGAGAGCAAAAGAATAAATGCCATGGCAGCATTTATTGAGCAATATTACTTTAGGTAATATGCATACTCAGGAAAGGAAACATTATGAAAATTCAGCATAATGATATTAAAGTATGCAAATTACTTTTGACAAAATGTACTTTCTTAGAGAAACTAATCTAAAAAAACTGTATGAAGCTCTGAAACAGAGAAAGAATATAAAGGTAAAGTGGTTCTGATCACAAATTCATGTGTAACCCCTTATGTCCATGCAATGTCCAGCCTTTCATACTTTTTTTAATTTCCCATTAACTAATGAGTCACAAACTTACTGATCTGAGCAAGTGTTGCAAGTCTCAGTGTATCTACATTAAGCAATACCCTGCTATTTTTGCTACAGCTTAGTTAATAGAGATAAATTAATGCACACTGTTTAAAGTGCAATAATCATAAATCCAAACAAACTGCAAACAACATAACACACAAAATAGCCTAGAAAAATTACTCCACGATCATCTATTTAACTGAACAAATATTACCAATTTATTATGATGTTCCTGTTTTTAGATACCCTTCAAATCTCAGACATTTATTAAAGTTCATTCATTAATCTGAAAATAGATTTTTTAAAGTGGAGTCTATAATCTAGAAACAAACAAAAATGTAAATTAAGACTATCATCAATCTAGTTATATTCAAGATCTCAACATAGAAACTTTCCAAGAGATTCTGTTCCAGGGCTTTGCTACAAACAGCTCTGTAATTGAGTAATTGAATAAGGCTGGCATAGCTGTATTCAAGTCCTACACTGGATCATCTTGTTGAGATCTCCTTACAGCAGAAATACTTTCAAAAGAAATTGAGTTAAATGCGGCACAACTGACAAGTTAAAATAAGCAAAAAACAGAAATGGGAGACAAAAAGGTTTTTAAAAAGAATTGTGTAAGATGTTTCAACCCTCAAGTGACCTCTATTCTAGTAACCTGTTGTTCTTTTCATTACATAATCCCTGTGGTGCCTTATAATGCTTATTGGATTGTACCAAAACATCCCTTTCTTCAAAAATGAAATCTACTATTACTGTTCTGACTCAATGTTTGGGAAAACATGGATTTTGATTAAGTTAATCTATAATAAGTCTGATGAAAATATCTTTTGGGATCTGTGAAACACAGTATGGTACTCAACTGAAAGAATATGTCTTAATCATGTTTCACAGGGGATTGCTGACATCTTGGTTCTGTTTTGCTGTTTTGTTAGACTGATCCAAACACATTCTTTTGTAATTAACATTTAAAATATGACAATTTGTTGCTCATGTTGATTAGCACTCTTATGCCTGCTTCACGAACATCCTGCCTCCAGTAAAAAGATGCAATGTTCAAAAGACATCTCTGAAAGGCTGAAATTACACAGAGCAGTGTAATTTTCTCAGACTGGCACGACTTGCCCTCACTTGCATTGTCTGGTAATGATGACAGGACAGCCTTGGGGCTGACAGCCTCCTCTCTGCCTTCTTCAATCTCCAGCCCACCCTCCCCCAGCTTGCCTCTATCTCTCCTGCTCACCTGCTTGGCAATGATCCTGGCAGTAAGCCTGACAGTCTCTGATGGATTCCAGTTCTCTCCGAAAGTACACATGGACGAGCACTCCAGCTTGTGCATAGGCCAGTCCCCTTTCTGGAAAACAAAGGAAAGAACGGTCCAGAAATTAAGACTTGATTTCAGGTTTTCCACTGACGTAACACTCGAAAGAACCAGTCACAAAGCATTTTGTAGTTCAGGTGGGTAGCTGCGTCAGCATGCGTAGGCTGCAAAGGAACAAGTAATAGGTTTATTCCATGCTGAAAAAAAGAAGAAAGAGAACACAACGTTTCGGCCGTGGAGCCTTCTTCAGGTGTGACACCTGAAGAAGGCTCCACGGCCGAAACGTTGTGTTCTCTTTCTTCTTTTTTTCAGCATGGAATAAACCTATTACTTGTTCCTTTACAAAGCATTTTGTACGTGCTTGAGCCTTCTGCTTTCCAATTGTTTCTTTTTAAAGTACTACAATTTGTTTTTTCTATTGATGGTATTGCTTTACAATCAGCGTTACTATTTATTTAATATTGCCAATGGACCAGGTAATGCTCAATGTTTTCTTCTATACAGTATAATGGCATTTTCTGTATTATTTATTTCATGGATAAATGTGGAATTTTAGTCTTCACAGGTCAGTAGGATGTGGCAATAACACACATTAATAGTACAGTCACTGTAAAAAAAACAACTCAATCTTAAATGAAAAAAGTTGTGCATCAATGATAAGATTCTCAATGAAGCCCACAAGATAAAGCGAATTTGTTTTTTAAATTAACCAAACAGGTAACATGTTCTTACAGAACTGAGTTGCAGTACTATACCATACATCACCATGATATACCATGTTTATCAAGGTTAAACGTTCTCAATGGTGAAATTATATTAAACATTCTGCTCAATATAATATCAAATTCAAATAAATGACATTGTCACCCTCTGTAATTTGAGTGGGTCAGGTGGGTAGCTGCGTCAGCATGCGTAGGCTGCAAAGGAACAAGTAATAGGTTTACTCCATCCCCAGGACTATTAACGACACCTTTTCTGTCCTACAGGATGATCCCTCCATTGGGGCCCTCTTTTCTGATCGCCCTATCATCTCATATCGCCGACCACCTAATCTGCGTAACCTTCTTGTACACAGCTTCCTTGACTGCCCTCGGCAACCATCCACACCAGGCACTTTCCCTTGCAACAGAGCTCACTGTATCACCTGCAGGTACACATCCACCACCACACTCATTCAAGGCCCCTGAGGACAATTCCGGATCAACCAGATGGCATCTTGTACCTCTTACAACCTTATTTACTGTATCTATTGCAATAAATGCCCAGCCATCTACATTGGAGAAACAGGAAAGAGACTCTGAGACCATTTCAGAGAACATGTTAGGGCTGTGAAGATTAAAGATCTCTCCAAGCCCATTGTTTTTCATTTCACCTCTGACGGCCACGACCACTCTAATCTTTCCATCTGCGTTCTCAATGACGGTTTTCCAAACTCATACATCAGAAAGACTACAGAAACAAAAATTATCCACCAGCTAAGATCACACCTTCCCCCTTCACTTAATGACAGACTACTTTTCTTCTATATTCTCTCCATTCATTGTAGGTTCAATTTCACACCTCTCTTCACCTATCCTGACTTCACACCTCCTGATTGGCCTCTCTTTCTGTCCCCTGCTCCCGCCCCTCGCTCCTCCTCTCTCCAAGCTTTTGTTCTCCCACTACATTACCTTTGCTTACTGCCCTGTCTTTCTCACACCTGAAGAAGGCTTCATGGCTGAAACGTTGTTTTCTTTCTTCTCTTTTCAGCATGGAATAAACCTATTACTTGTTCCTCTGTAATTTGATTCTTCTAGTCTGTAGTACCACAGAGCTTTTGGCCCAACACTACATGAATAAACCCTTCAATAACCCGGCAACTGTAGTTTACCTACTACTTCTTTATCAAAGGAGCACTATTTCATAGCATATTTCATTTTCTGTACAGTATGTTGAATATACTATTTAATATTTAAAAAGTAGCACATTATCTAGCAAATCCCAGAGAGGAAAATTAAAATTCATCAAGGCTTGTCTGAATTATACAACAATAACCACAGACTACAGAACTTCACTAATTACTGTTTAAACCTTCCCTGTGCATTTTTAAATAGGGGAAACAGAAATATATTAACCATCTTATTTATGCAGATATACTGAGCAGAAGAAACAGATCTCTTATAAGTACAACAAATTCACAATGTACAGTACTCATTGAACATCACACAAAGTTGGTAAATGCATTATGCTAATTATTTCATCAAAAGGGCTGATCAACACTTTGCACATGTTGCACCAGGTTGCAAACTCTGTCTTGCAGGGTTCTGCACCATTCCTCTCATTCATCCTTGACTACCATTCATGATCACAAAAATGTTCAATGGAGCTAAAGTCTGGTGAGTCAGGCATGCACAGCACACAGCATAATCACATTCTCTTCTTTGCAAGGAACATGATTTTGAATGAGCTGGGACATTATGGGTTATCTAGGGCTCAGTCAGCCCTTTCCCAACGAACCAGTACAGCTTGTTCAAGCTCTATGAGAGGTATGGGACAGAATCCCACAGACAGCACCTACAACCAAGCATGTCACTGAAATACTGTTTGTGTTGCTTAAAATGAAAGCCACACAAGCTGCCAACCTGTTATTTTCACAGCAAAGCTCCTGTTGATCAACCCTGTTGATAACAAATGTTAATCAGCAGAATGAATTTGCACGTTGTGTCTGTTCAATAAATTGTCAGTGCACTTGGCTACAGAAAAATTTGCAGTCATTTTCCTGATAATCTTGTGAATCTGTTACAGTTGTTAAGTACTATGTTTCTTTAGATTTTCAGTATGTTCAGTTTCAGTTCAATAGACCAAAAGTAAAGGATGCTTACTTAATTGACACCATCGCTCTAAGAACTGAAAATAGAATAATTATTTTTAAATGATAAATCCTTCATCTTGGCGAGTAAACAGTAGTTCGCCCATCACATGGAGGACTATGGATTGTCATAGCAACTGCGAGAACAAGCTGGCTATAGCTCAATTTAAGAACAGAGACACTGATAAGCCTTTCAAGAGTCTGGGTTACATGTGCTGTCTTGGCTGCCACATTTATTACTTTAGGTATTGGCATACTGACAAATTGAAGCACACAAGCTCTCATCAGTTAGAAAGAAATATATTTCTTTATAGAATATAAAAGACCTTATAAAAGAGCCATAAAATTCCTTATGAAAGTAAACCCATATATTAATGTACTAGAGCAAAGGCAATATATTGTCACTCTAAATCTTTACTCAGTCTATATAAAGGCTCATTTTTAGTACGATCATTTTTTTCAATTTATAAATACATATATAGCATTAATATAAGCACATAATATTTAAAGTATTCAGGCCAGAATATACTGCTAAAAATCTTTGTAAAGCTAACTTTGTGTCTATTTCTCAATATGCTATTATCATTAAACCTATCAGTTTGTTATAAAATTGGATAAACTAACCATATAGCCCTGATCCAACCTGATTAGAAATGAAAGGAACACTTATTGGGTTTTGGTTAATTTCATTACTTATTTGGTTACTGTGTTAAGTGTAGTGTCAAACACAGTGAGACTGATGAGGTGGCACAATATCTGCAAAACAGGTAGGACGATGATTAAGTCAAAGTTTTCCAAGAGCACCCAAAATTCAACAAAGAAATCAAACTTATAAGAAAAAATCCCAGTGTTTTGTGAAATTTAATAACCCTATTATTCCATGACAAACCAGAAGACTGCAGTCTAGTTTTTTGTGTAATTAATTTCACACAAGCACCGATGTTCTCCCTCGTGTTTCACTCAGCTACACACCTGGATTGATTTACTGGACCTCAGCTTTGATTTTCCCTCGTCCCTTTGCGGTGTCTCTTTGGCTTTGAACTACGTTTGTTCCTGTTACAGCTCTAGGACTCTTCTTTTGACCCATGGACCACTACTACAGACCTTCAGTAGAGGTTCATAACACAAAGTGCATGAATGGAATAACTTTGATAAAATTAAGGGGTCTAAATAAATAACATCACTGACAACTTTATCAGATCTCTCTTATATTCTTGTACTGTACTGAACTGTCCTGTAGGATTGTACTGTACTGAAATCCTTGTCTTAAACCACTACACAAGCATTTATAATCTACCCAAGGTATCTGAATTATGAATACATGTCTTATCACTAGTGAAGATGTTTCAGTAGCACTGTATTGCTAGCAAATTATATCAGCTTGAGAATGCAGCGTCTGTCTAAATAACATTACTCTATAATGTCAATTTCATCTGGTAACCCTAAATAACATCCACCCAGTTGAAAGAGTATCACAAAAACAAGAAAGATGGCAAATAAGAGGAGGCCATTCAGTCCATTTGGCTTAGTTGGTTATTAGTTAACTGATCTGAGGAGGATGCCATCCAGACATTTCTCAATTGAAATATTGGTATCGCCTTCAACAAAAAAATGGAAACCTCATTTGGGTAAATGAGGCACACCAATCAGGTTGAAAGTGAGGCTTCCATAGAAGTGTGGCTCATATATTTATTTAGCAAATAACATTCCATCATGCTTAGTCTAAAACTATGTATAAAAATTATGTATAGATCTGAATGTGTATAATTATCTAAGTACATCAAGAGGAGAACCAGTGACTCTGTGACCTCAGTGACCAAGACAGCTCAACTTGCTGATGTTTCACAAAAAAAGGTTTCTGAGGTCATATCAGCATGGAACTCCCAGCGAAGGATATTGAATCATTAGCAAAAAGGGCAAGAGTAGCCAAAACATCTGTGCATGAATTCAAAGTACAAAGTGAAACATGTGAGTAATTGCTGTTTGATTTAAAAGTACCTGCATCAGTTTAATTAAAAGGGTCTACAGAGAATTCCACAGAGTGGGATACTGCAGTCAGACTGAACTGCACAAGCAGCTCAACACTCCTGGATATGCACACTTCTGAGTCCCGTCATGCAAGGAGCGGGGGAAATGGAATATCGAGCAGTGGAGAAATGTGATACAGCCAAATGAATGATCTTTTAACATGTTCTTGACAAATGGGACATGTGTGGGTACAAGACATGTCTAAAAAACTCTACAGTTCAGGGTTTTTAGTTCCAACGATTAAGAGTTCTGTTAGTTCCACAATGCTGCTGGGTGCATTTTCCTGGCATGGTTTGGAGGCATTCATTCCCTCAGAAAGCTTGGTCAATGCTAATTACTATTTAATTGTACATAGTAATTATCTTCACTCCATTTTGCAGCACTTCTTTCCTGCTGGAAAGGTCTAGGACGACAATGCGTCCATCTGCAGAGCTCAACAGTTTGATGAACGTGACACTGATGTTATCCATGTGCCACGGCTGTCTCTGATCTGAACCAAGTCAAACACTTAGGGGATATTCTGAAATAATGCTTAAGACAGAGTGTGAGAGAATGCTTAATTTCCAGGTTTGAGATTATTGACTTTCTCATCAAAGAGCACTGCCGCGTCTGTCTATTTTCAACGCCATTTATCCAGTAGAGGGTCACAGGAGAAGCTGGAGCCTTACCTGGCAAGCAACAGGTAGCAAGGAATGATACACCCTGGACAGGACGCCAGTCCTTTGGAGGGCACAGACATAAACACACACACCAGGGCCAATTTTACAGAAGCCAATTATCTGTATATATTTGGACTGTGGGAGAAAACTGACTTTACATTACTTTCCATTGACATTTACATTACATTTTTGGCATTATCTTTAAGAGTCCACTACCTGTAGGTAACTTGTTCTGTGTATAAAATATTTAAATAGTCTATTGTAAATGCATTTCCAATTATCTTCCATTAGTGTCCACAAATTCCACAATTGATCATGAAGAGGTATTTTGGGCTTACTTTTTCTATGTGTGTATTCAACAAGACTTATTCATAAGATTAAGCTGTCTGGGCAAAATAAAATTGGAATTGCACACATCAAAGGAAATGCAGTATATTTCACTGAACAGTACATTCAAAATGTATTTGACAATATTAATCAATTCCTCAAGATGAACAAATGCCTTTTATAGACCACCATTTTGACAAGACTAAATTGTTCTCCAGACTGAGCTGAATCTTTTTTTACAGCAAAAGAAACGTATAGAACTAGGACAAGTCAGAGTAAAGCACCATAACTACTGCAGTGCCACATCAGCAATGAAATGGCTTGGACTCAATACCTTTCAATAGTTAACCTAGGTGGTTTAATTAATCCTAACAACATTTATCATATTGTGTAAGCTGAATGTTGTTCTCCTTACCTGACAGTCAACATTACAGTAGAACGCTTGTTTACACTTCCCACACTTGGACAAGCCTTCTTTCCTGCAGAGCATAAAAATAAACAAAATATCTTAAGCTCAAAAGAACACTATGCTATAAGACATTTAAAATAAAATTTCTAGTTGTAACAAGTACTTCAACAGATAACTCAGATAAAAGCCAAAAGTAGCAGAATAAGACACACAGAAGAAGTGTATCAGAATGAATATTTCAGTGTCTAGGGTACTTCTTTGCGTAGGATAGGAGGAGAAAGGTAGGATGTTGGAATAAATACTGTACACCATACTCCGATATGAGAGGTGTCTCGAGAGATAAGGAAAAAGAGGTAATGAATGCTCTGCGATGTAGTATAAAGTGTGTCTAGATTTCATGTCTGTTGCAAGAGTGTGCAGTCTCAAAATAATCGATAATTGTGAGCGTTGGATGAAAACCCAGGGAAGATACACAGAGGGAAGAAGTCTCGTCAGCCTTCCCCAGAAAGGCGGAATAATGTACAGTATGAGATCGAGGATCCTGGAGGGATACAAACTCATACAGTATGACAGAAATGAAGAATAACTGCTTACAACCCCAAATTCAACTTGTGGTGCAGGACGTGCGGGATACAGGAGGTAAGCAGTGAGACTGGAATTTAAATGAATCTGTAATGGCAAAAGTGGTTTAAAAGGGAAGCAGGTGAAGTTCCAGGGCCTGATCAACATACTGTAGCACCATGCAGTCAGGAGGCCACCAACCACTATGAATGCAATTCTGTAGAGATTAGACACCCCTGCTTGATCCATCACACCTGAAAATCTCTTAAGTCTCTTGCACACAACATTTAGAATTATAATTCAATGCATCTGCACCACACTCAAGGATATCCACTGTGGTAATCCATGAAAAACCTTGATTCGTCACTAAAGAGGATTTAGCTCTGATGCTGGCAAGTTTAACCTCCAACGTTTATTTTTCTAGTGATATGTTTGTCAGGTAACAAATTTCTTTTGGTGGCTCATTTTAGGTCAATTTAGGGTTGACCAGAGTTAGTGGTATTATTCATAAAACCTTAATATATTTGCGCTTCCTCTTTGTTTATATGGTTTTGTTTCAGATGGGCTGCTAGTCTCCCTCAGTGCATCTCGAATCAGCACTCTGAACTCTCTGCACTCTGGGCAGATGAACCATTTAAAAACCATCTATTGTCAAGAAAAATCATATTTTGAGCCTCAACTCCACATTCATTAGTATTAAATATAAAACAAATAAAAAGTAAAACAATAATTTCCCCATTATTTGTTTTCTGAATATACAGTTAAGGAATATTTGCTGAATTTGCTAGAGCATACCAAGGTATTTTCATAGCACATTGTAGTAAAGCACATACAGTGCTAGGCATGATAAAACTATAAGAATGCACAGAAAAACTAAAAATGAAAAATACCTGGATACATTTTCCACAGCAAACTTCTAAAATTTTCAGATGGCTTTCAGTCATTGGCATACACATTGTGTCAGTAAAGCTGGACTGCACACATTTTCAGCACGCCACCTTAAAAATATCAGAGCGTCTCACTGTCACATTTTTTAATTTAATGTAGGTTGCATGCACGTTATCAGCAGTCTCTTTCATGGTCTCACATAGATTATTCTTATTGGAAAGCATTTAGATAATTTGAAGATCGAGTCACATTATAGTTTTTCAGCCAGTGACAATTTTTACATTTTACTGCTGAAAATATATTAGTGAAGTACATGAAATATAAACAGAGAGATCCTCATGGTGAGTGGAGAGAGATTGTGTTGGCATGTCATCACTTTCCCTCCCACTCCCACACACTCAAAAGTGTTTATATCAGTCTGCACTGTTTAAAATATCCCTTAATGGGGAATGGGCTAAATCAAGATTAGAAAAGGCAAGAAAAACTTTAGGAAGAAAAGGGGGAGCTGCATGGACAAGATCTCTTAAAGCACAGGTCCAGGAAATCCCTAGGTATGTGTCTTGACATGTGTCAATGTGAGAAGTTCACACTATAAAGCTGCCATGTCAATTACAAAATACAGCAAGTTTATGGGTATTGGTATTGTATGAGACTGCATTCCTTCCAGAAAAAGAAAACAGTGAATTAAAGTATAAATTGGCCAAAGGGTTTAGTTTTAGCAAACATCTAAACTGCTGTTTCAAAAGTATTGCTATTTCCCAGGAACATTGTAACAAATCTCTCCAAGGCAATTTTTGAAACATCCAATTTACTAGACAATGAGGAAAATAAACAACAGTGTGAGACCATCTGTTTCAGTCCTCTGTACCTTGTAATACAATAAAGGGTCGGAAAAAGCTTAGGCCAGGTGGTAACATCCACTCCCACCTATTTAATGCACAGATTATTGTACTATCTTGCAAACTATCTTATTGTTTTAACTAAACAATATAATCCTAAACCAGATGTTATTCCACCACAACAACTAGTTTGATTATACAGGATTCATCATGTAGGCTACCCACGACTGAGCTTTGTGCTTGAAACGCATTGCTCTTCGCTATTGCTACTCATTTTGTTCTCTTTGCTTTTGAGGCGCTATTTATTATTTGAATTCATTTAAGCAAAAAGTCAAAGGCTTTTTTCACTTTAAATTAGGTGATGAAGGGGCACAGCAGTAGTCTGTGACCCAGTGATTCAGTTGAAAGCAAACCCTGTGTTTTCTTCAATTACTAACATACTGTAGCTCTGCTGTAGGTTCCAACACCCTAATGCATGAGACTTTCAGTCAAAAACTGCAATTGTATACAATTTGTATTGATGGCTTCTTTTATTCACTTAAAAAACACTTTGGTTAATAAACAGATTCCCATGTCTTTATAACAATTTATGTAATTATTTAATTGTTTTTATCAACCTAGACTTGATGTAAATGTGTGAAAAGAATATGATAGATTATGTACCATCGTGGCTGCAGGCCGGCAGATGATCTTACAGTGTATTACTATGAAACAGCATTTCAATTATTATATAGTAATTATTATATTATTATATTATATAAATATTCTCATTTTAAACCAGTTCGAAATTGCTAAATGCTTGCCACCAAGTAAAAGAATGGCTTTTTACTCTGACCAACGAGGATACGCATTTACTCTGGAATCTAGAACCCAGTGAACGACCAGCCATTACGTTTGCAATAAGTAAATTAAAATGGTCTGAAAGCACAATCAAGAAAAATTGTGAAACGATGCAATAAAACATTAAAAAAAAGAAATGTTCTACTTCAAATGTCTTAGATCATTATATTCAAAGACAAAATTGGAGACAAACAATTTGGGATGCGTTGGTTTATTGTACATGACTGTACTTCCAAAGATACTGCTCGGATATGACCTTTCCTGCAACTACAAGCTAACAGTTTCGTATGAATATTTTTGGTGCACTCTCAGATAGAGTAGAAGATTTGTGATGAAGTATAAGTACATGTGTTATGATGCTGAGCTCCATGAACTGTCTATGTTTGAACACACGAGTTAAAGGGTCTTTAAATATTCCCCTCACGTAAGCCTACTTAGTGTATAGATTCGAATAACTTAGAAGAAGCATAAATTAGGCATATCTAAATTGTACTTGTAAGATTTTTTGAGACTTCCTTTGGATAAATGTATTAGTTCCTTCAGCAAAACATGTACAGGTTAACAGCTGCTCTGTGCAGTATCAATAGGCTACAGTCCTAATAGCTGCCAATGGAGAAAAGGAGCAGGGTACCACTGCAATGCAGTCAGGTTTAACTCCTTACATAAAACTGCATTTAATTCCTCTTCCAGCAACAGAATAGAGACAGCATTAATAGACCAGTCCCTCCTGATTTCAGCAGCTTATTTAGTCATTTAGTTATCTCACAGTCTACAAGCATGACTAAACAAATTTATAGAAAATTATGTAAATGAATTACAACTGTTCACTTCATGGCTTATTTATAAGCTTATTACACTACGAAAGCCTGTTTCGTCTTTCGTAGTTTCTCTTCATAGCTGGAAGACATCTGTTTGGTATGATGCTGAAACCCCCAAATAACTAACCGTAAAACACAGACATGAACCCAATGAAAACAACTCAAACTGCATCTGGATGCCCTGCTGCCCTACTGATCACTTATGGTGACTTTTGTATGTTAATAATAATATTTACTGGACACTCCATTCAAAGCGTTTTACATGCAGTGGGGACTCCCCTCCACAACCACCAATGTGTAGCACCCATCTGGATGATACAACGGCAACCAAATTGCACCAGTACCTTTGCCACACATCAGCTATGAAGAAATTAATCCAATTCATACAGTACATAGAGATCAGTAGGAGATCACGATTGGTAAATTTTCAAGGGGGAAATTTACCAGGACACTGGTACATTCTTTTAAAGAAATGCCCTGGGATTTTTAATGATCAAGAATGAACCTCAGTTTTACATCTCTCATTGCATCAGGAAGAGAGAATGCCTCTTAGAGACTATGTTTTGACAGCATAGAGTGAAGAAGTTGGGAAACGACAACAAAGTCAAGGGGGACTTTACTGAAAAGTAACAAAAACATTTTGGTGAAAACCATTTTAAGTATCTTAGTACCTTGTTCTAGATAAGAACTCAACTGGCCCACTCTTTGTAGTAATCATAGATTAAAAAACTGTTTAATGTGCATGAATACTGTTACAGCTATAGGTGACTAGGAAGAGTCTCTAAGAGTTTAGATAAAGTTATTATCATCTAGCAGTGTAAACATCTCTAGCTTCAAACCTGAGATGTAAGGGGTTCCCTGATCAAAACCAAATGGAAAGTTTACCTTGGGTTACCTAGTTAATTAAGCTGTGGGTAAATTATTGACAATGAGCAGTCCAGAAACACACCAGATGAGATCACATCAAAACACAGAAGAGAGGAAAAGGAAGAGGGAGAAAGTTAGACCTCAAGAGAGGAGGCAGAAGGAGATGGAACTTGAAGCTTGCACTGGGCGAGAGCCCCTACTTCATGATCATCCAAACTAAACCTGAGTGGAGATAAGTATTTGAAGCTTGCTAGAGAGAGCTTGCTGTTCTGTGTTTTTAGGGAACTTGGGTTTCCTGGGAATAAGCTAAACATCTTTCCTGCTTGTGGGGACATTTTTAGAATAGGGAAATAGGCTCCCATTTATTTTGTGGCATCGGGGTTTGAAAAGTGAGACATTTAACTGGAGGTTGCATTATATTTATTAAAAGGGAGTTTACTGCACTTCTTATTGTGGCTTCTGTGGGCATTATTTAAGAGTTCAAAGCTTAGTAGCTGTCAGGTTTTCTGGGTGGTTAGGATGTTAGGCCTCTAAAACACCTCATTTGTACATATTGTAAATATAGCACCTTGTGTGTTGTATATTGTGTTGTGTGCAGCGTAGTGTTTGCCTTGTCATTTGTTAATAAACATTTGTACCTGGATCATTACTCTTTTCACTGAAGCTGTACCAGAGAATTCACATGCCTTTAATTATACCAACCGCTCAGGTATATTCTGGAGAAATCACTTACAAGTTGAGGGTTATGAATAATTATTTTACTAACTGACTGAAGAGCTCAGTCAATTCCTGAAATTCACAATTATTGTAACCCCTCATTTGCAACAATACACTTTCAGTCTCAAAGAAAAGTAGTTTTCTTAAATTCAAGTTATGCTTTTCTCAGTCCCTTTACAAACCGCCCCAACCGCCCCAACAGACAGTGGAAGGACAGACTGATGTAACCCATAGCCATGCCCAGAAGGCCACACATATCCATATTTCTATACAACAGTTACCTTTCATGAAAGATAAAGAATTGTGGAGTATAAGGTACTAAAACACACCTATTTCAGCCTTTTTTTATATCAGGACTTTTAAAATATTTTTTTACAGAGCACTCGAAAATGTGCCTTTTAAGATTTCCACAGTCAATGCTATATTAAAGACAAAAGAAGAATCTGTTTATGCTTTCCAAAATACCTCCCGAAAACGATAAGCTATTAAGATGCAACCAGCAAATAAAACAACCCATAAACCTCCCGTTAAAGCCTGCATAAAACCTGGCAATAAAATGCGAGATGCGTCACCATTTAATATCCGCCAACTTCTGTTTGACAGATTTTAAGGCTCATCCAACGTGCCATAGGAAAGCAAGTGCCAGCGTTGTCCAGTGGTTTGCTGGACATAAATCTGATCGACTAACTTTTGAGTTAGCAACAGATGTTACTGCTCTACCGCAAGAAATGCAAAAACTTCACACGAGTATGAAACGAATTAGAAAATAATAATTGCTGAAATGAACTGATAAATTCCAGAAACTGAAAATAATTAAGCTGTTTTTTTAGATAATTAATATGGCTGTTGCACATCTAAATGAAAGAATGTTTTATTGGAAAAGGACAAGATTAAATTAATAATTTGTAGTATCTTAACTGTAAGGTACTACCGTACGTGCATTATCCAAAATGGTCCACGCATTCCCCAGGACTAAGGGCACTGCACATTTTCCTTCGTTGTTATTGTAAAAGTCATCGATACCTACAGACCCCCTAACACGTTATCCTTAATACTTCTTTAATTCTAATATGGTGATTTTCTGAAAGTTGTGAAGTCAACACACGAATACTAAAAACAGTTCAAACTGGAACTTGAGTAGTAAAATAACGACCTCAGCAAAGTAGTGTTTAATTATATAGTTTTATTTTTTAATTATTTGTATTAAGTGCACTGAATTTCATGACGTTCTGTTGCTACGGTCCCCATTCATACTCGTAATCAGCTACTGAAAGTCCATTACGACCAACAGGAAGCCTTTCTCTCGAACTACTGCGATGACTTCCTTCCAGCAAGCAGTCTTTCTCAGCACTCCGCCGCAGTAATGTTAAATTAATTGCTAATTGAAAGTTATGTCAGTGACGTACCTTGCAAAGCAGAATTCACAGTGGTTGCCTCTCTCGTTGACTGTCAATACGTAAGTATACGCCGGGCACGTAAAAAGAAGATCTCCAACTTTAAACTGTTTCAAAGCCCTCAGTCCCCTGCCTTTGCCAGGACTGATAAACCTTTCGATTCCTTCTGGCGTGCCCTCTGTCTTCATTTTCTTGACGTGGTTATTTCCTAATCGTGTCTTGCCTTGCTTTTTCTGATAATTTTGGAAGCACTCCCAGTCAATGTTCTATTCGATCCCTTACTACAAGAAAGATCAGGTTTTGCCTGGGTGAATTAAAACCTTTGCTATTAATGGAGCAGCGTCACTCTCACCCAGAACTACATAAATGGTAGCAGCAGATGGCTTACACAGCTACAGCATTGCTGCAGGATTCCGTGGGGTCTTAAGGACCTAAGGTTCAGGGTAATACACTGACGTATTACGTGATCTCCAGACCTCAGGGTTAAGAAGCCACGCTGCTGTGTGTTAGACATACTGTATACAGTACAACAGGATAACATTCTGAGTGATAATTCTTACGTTTATGTGTTTGGTATATTTGCTAGACAATAAATTAACTATATTATACAGTAACACCTGCTGTTTAAGTGTGTCTGTATTTGTTCAAAGTTATTACCACCATTACCCTTTGTTCAGGGAATGTTTATACAGTAGCTGTGTGCTTCTGTTCGTACACCATATGAACATGTGAACGGACATCATCAATTTCAACTGACAAGAAAAAAAAATGTTTATTCTGTTACTCAGCAAAAAAAAGAGCACTGGTAAGGATAGGACCTGCAGCTACACACTACTTGAAAAAATAAAATCTTATATTGCAGCAGTGACATACAGCAGCTACTGTAGCATACTGTAGCTCAATAACGCTATAACTGCAGCACAGCACTTGCAAAGCCATTCCACTACTGTCTGTAACACTGTTTTATAAACTGCAGCATCCTGCCCCCAATACTTCCTGCCATAGAAGCAGCATGTCAAGAAGTAGAATACTTTATTAAAAACATTATTTCTGTATTGCAGCATAAACCAGGTTGTTAAAGACTCCAGTTTTGCTAAACCTTGTGAGATAAGAAGGATAAGAGCAGACTTTCGTAAACCTCTTCTGAAGAGAAGACTTCAGTGCTCTATAATTAGGTGTACCCTACTGCTAATGAGCAGGACAAATATCAATAGAAGGGATTTGGGGATATTTATCATTAGATTTTTTTTCTTTCTAGGAGAACTTTACTAAATACTTTTGGAAAGGGAAAGGAAGGAAATTATATATTTTGTTTTCATGTATCCCTCACGGTGTTTAAATTTATAAATGACTGGATTGCAGTTTTAGGAATGCCTTATTTTGCTGAATAAAATTGACTTGTTTCATTCAGCCCCAGGGTCCCTCGTAACCTAGTGTCTCATGTGTCCACTGAATGAAAGTAGAATACACCTTTAATTCAAGAAAACACGAAACACATCTCCCACAGTATATTTGTCTCAATGTGCAAGTCTCTGACAGCCATGCAGGTGTCCCATTATTGCATGTAGCAATTAAAGATTGAAAAGTGAGTCACCTTATTTGAATACCACAGATGCAACAAGCTGCCTATTAGAACATGTATTAATTGCCTCCTTCAGAATATTTAAGTTTAATTACCTTTTTTAGCTGGTATACCTAATCATTCATAATCATTTTCTATTTATTGTTTTAACTGTGGACATGAAAGAGGGTGTGAATAATTATTGTGTGCTTATGTAAAACATCATTGAATGAGTAAATGAAACTATTATGGTTGTGAATACGAGTTCAATTGTAGCACTTGAACTTCTGTGAATATTACTACAAATGACTGTTAATGGCCCTTCAGCACAACCACTAGACATCCCATGGATAAACTAAATAACTTTACTCTATGAAGACCTATGCTATACAAATACTGTACATGTATTTTTGGAAATGGATACTGTATAAATCTAAATATTTAAATAACATTTCTCAAATAACTATTCTACTGCAGTAACAAATCAAACAAAACCGAAAAAGGCTTTAAATGTATTATACAAATTAAAGTACAGTAACATAAAAAAGGTTTAAAATGAAAGGAGGGCATTCAAACCATGTTATCTATTAGGTAGTTTGCACTAAATGATCCAAAAATGTAATCCAGCTGTTTATTGGAAGAAGCTAGAATACAGAATCTCTTTAAGAGCTTGGCTGCATAGCTTGTTACGGTCTCCCACACCCCATTACATAAAGAAGTGCCTCCTATTCTCATTTTTAAATGCACTTTCACACGCTCCATGGTATGTCCCTTTATGCATGTTCCATTCTGAGATAAGCAATTATAGGTAAATATAACAATTGAGATCACAGAAACATGGTTAACTGAAACCGATGATGCCGAAAGTAACATTAGTGGATACACACTGTTCCAGAGTGCAGGAAAGACAGAAGTCCAGTGCTATACTTTATATTAAAATGAGTATTCAGGTTTAGGAACTTAATGTAAGCAAGATCTTGAGTTTCTGAAATTAAGTAAGTCAGACTGTTCAAAAGTCATTCTAAAGGTATAACGTTAGGTGTGTGCTATAGACTCCCTGATGCACATGTTGATTATAATTCAGCAATGAATTAATTCAGAATTCATTTTAGCAATGAAGTAAAGAATTTATGTAAAAAAAAAGAACTGTTTTTATTAGAGACTCCAAATTTTTCAACAAAGACAAGGAGAAACCAATTGGAATGTCAGACCAATACCAGATATTTTGTTGTTGTTGTAATGTGTGGTGACCAAAATAAGGCACAACATTCTAATATTTATTTTAACATAAAATACTTTGATTTGAATGGTACACTTTTAGCTATATAAAATCATGTTTGCATTGTTTTTTTATTTCTACCCATATATATGGAGGTGGTGTGGAGTACTGGGTAAACCTTTGGACTGATTATTGGCAGGTAATGGGTTCACATGCTCACTTTCATCCAGCTGTTTATTGAAAAAGAAACGAGAGCATCTCTTCAACACCATGCTGTAGCTTGTTTCAGACTCCCACAATCTGTTGCTTACGGATGTGCCTCCTTTTCTTCTTTTTAAATGCACTTCTACACACAGTAGTTTCCATTTGTGCCCTCTGGTTTGTGTTTAACTCTTCATTCTAAAGAGATCTGCTGGGTTAACTTTGTAGCAATACAGTATATTTTCTAAAACATGATGAACAATAAGGTATAGAGGTATACTTTACTAAAAAATGTGGCCTTACAAGTGTGTGATAGATAGATAATACTTTATTAAACTTTTTTTTTAAATTTTATTAAATTGATGTGTTACAGCAGTCCAACCCAAGACAAGCAAAAACAGACATCAGAATAGTTATAAAACAAAAGACAACAAAATAAATAAATAAAAAATAAATACATAGGTGTGTGCAAAATGTGATGATCATAGTCACTGTAAAAACAATTCAATATGTGCAAAATGTGCATAGGTTTATACAGACTGATTGTCCAAAAAGTACAATGGCACAAACATGCTGTCCATAGACGAGCAAATAAAGGGCTAACAGTCCTAGCCTAGGCAGTGTTATAGACCCTGACAGCTGCCGGGAGGAAAGACCTGCGGAAACATTCCCTTGAACACCGTAAAAGTGCTCCGCTGCCCAGTAACAGTCCCATGAAGCGGATGAGAGGTGTTGTTCATGATGGCTGTGAGCTTGGTCAGAATTCTCCTCTCAGCTACCACCTCCATGGGGTCAAGGCTCATCCCCAACACAGAGCCAGCTTTCTTGATAAGTTTATTGAGCCTATTTGCATCTTTTGTCATGAAGCTGCTGCCCCAGCACACAACAGCGTAGAAGATGGCCACCGCCACCACTGATTCATAAAATATGTGTAGCAGTGTTCCACACACACCAAAGGACCTGAGGCTTCTAAGAAAAGTTGGAGAGTTGGCTCTAACCTTTCTTGTACAGGGTGTCAGTGTTACCAGACCACTCCAGCTTATCATCCAGGTGTCCTCATCCTGGATGGAAACAGGGTTCAGCGGAGGCAGGGTTCTGCTATACCATATTTTGATTCAAAGTCTATACTTTTAACCGCATATCCAAGCATTTAGTTTGTCTTTTTAGTTGATCTCCCACGTTGTGTAGAAGGTGTAAATGTCATGTCATCATAAACGTCTAAATCATTTTCAGAAGCAGCCTCTTCTAGCTCCCATTTTGTCATTACTACTTGCATGCAATACTCTGTACTTACAAAATCTGCATTATATGTCATCTACGAGGCACTTTTAAATCTGTTTGAAATTAATTTGCTGATTTTACAGGGTTTAACAATCTTTCTAATTTGGTGCACATTTGATTCACTAATTATTCTTGAATCCAGATCATTGATATTAATTAGAAAGAGCAGAGATCCTAGCTCAGATTCTTGCGGTACTACACTAAGTACAGTACTACATCTCTCCAATTTGAGCATTCACTCTTATCAATGCTCTCTGCGTTAATGAATCTGTAAAATATGTTTTATTGACGAGTTTAGCCATTCAAATAACTGTTCATAGTAAATATTATTATATATTATAATAATATTGTAATGAAGTGTCTTAAAGAACCTAAATAAAACAACTGGCAGTGTCAACATTTCCAGCTTCAATGCATGGTTTACCTTAGTTAATGAAGTTTTGGGGAAATGACTAAGTGTCAATCAGCAGCCCAGGAATGCATTTGAAAGATGCATGTACAGAAAAAGACAAGTACAGAGGAAAGAAGGAAGAAAAAGAAGATTAGGGGCAAGACAAGGGGAAAGCAAGAGATTCTTATCCAGATCACCCAGAAACACCAGTATTTGAACTTTGTCAACAGAGCTATTCTGTGGTTTTCAGGGAACTCATAATTTCCTGTGTAAACATTCCTTTGGATAAAAGCAACCTTTCTGGGTTAGTTGGTGCATTTTTAAAATAGGGAGATAGGTTCACATTCATTTTGTAACATCCAAGTTTTCAAAAGGAGAGATTTAACCACAAGTTTTATTCTGTTTCTTTAGAAAAACAATTTTCTCTTATTTTGTCCTTTGTAGATGCTATATAAAAGTTTGAATACTTATTAACAGTCTGGAGTTTTTCTGAGTGGTTAGGACATAAGGCTTCTGCAATGCTTTGCTAGCAAAAGTTGTATGTTATATGTTTATATTGTGCGTTGTTCAGTGTATATTATCATTGTTAATAAATATTTGTTTAACCTAGTGTGCCAGAATAATAACTGTTTTCACTAAACTGTGCCAGAGAACAAAAAACGCATGTGCCTTTAACTATACCAACCGCTCATATACTGTATATTCTTGAAAAAATCTTTACAAGTAGGGGTTATGATTATTACTTTATGT